CCCCATCCGACCCCTCCCTCGAAGCCGTAACGTACCCCGCCCAATCCGTCCGTTCCCCCTTCTCAGTCCCCCAATCCCCCTCCTGCCATCCGCCCTCATCCCAAACCCCCAGTCCACAAAGATGCCTCATAGTCGGACGTCCATGCGGACAATTCCACGGCTTATCCAGCTCCCCCATATGCCTCACCACCCCCTCCATCTGCTTCCGACTCAGCGTCTTCCCAATCATAATACTACTCCTACAGGCCCTCATCGCAAACATCTTGCGCACCTTACTCGGTCGCGGCACCGCGCCGGACGTCGTCTCGCTTAGCATCGAGATCAATTCCTCCAGGTCGCTGAGGGAGAAGGTAGTTTCTCGACTCAGAGGCAGAGCGAGGAGGGAACACCGCTGGCCTACGATAGAGGTTTCCGAGTGATCGAATGCAATTTGAAATCCGTTTGTCTCGAGAATTTTCAGGTTCTCGAGGACGATTTCTTCTTCCAGCGCGGTAAGGGAGAGGATCTTGGGGTGGACTAGCGGTTGGGACTGCACGATTGTTGTGGCTTGTAATCTTTCGAAATTGTATTTCTCGTCTGAAGCGTGTTGGTCGATGATAAAGAGGTCGTCGGCTCGAAGAGCGCCTTCTTCGGGTTGGAGAGAGGAAATTCGGGAGGCTAGGATGAAACCAAGGTTGAACTGTCCTATGATTTTCATACGTGCAAAATCAGGTTTCGAGATTGTGAGTGAGAGTTTTTCTTCGGCTTGGACGGAGTCTAGAGGTGCGTCTTCGGTTTTGATGGGGTTGGTGGTATTGTAGGAGTCCAGGATTAGATTGAGGGAGTTGAGATGTTGAGTGATTGAGGAGATAGTTGTGCTGATTGGCTTTATTAGATTTATGATGGTGTCTTTCTTTTTCGAGGCACCTCTTATTAGGGTTTTGGCTCGTAGGATATTTTCTTGGGTGGGTTGGATTGCACCTTCTTCTACTGCTTGTATCATTTCTTGGACTTTGGCATCTTCGCGTGCTTTCTTCTCGGCTTCATCGATGTACTCGTCGCTATCTTGTCCTTCCCCTTCTGAAGTCGGGCCATCTACCTTCGAAATGAGATCTCCATCTGAAGTTCCTCCGGGATCCGGATCTACTGAATATACGCTTTCATTTCCATCCTCATCTGGGTCTGTCGAAGACCTGGCTGTTGCTCTGCTTGGAGATTTTGCAACTTCCTGCTCATCATCCTCAAGTCCCTCTTCACTCTCGTCCTCAGCAGATGGTTGTTGTGTTCCTGGAGCAGCAAATCGCTGCGATAGACGACTTCCAAAAGACGGTAATGGGGCACCTGAAGGACGACGAGGGGTTGCAATGCGAGAACGACGTGTAGTACTTGTAATACTAGGCCTCCGATCTATTTTGCGACTTGGGGTTCCAATTGGACTTGTGGTAGTATGGTCGCCGACCGTGATTGTCGCTAACTCAGCAGGACCCCTTTTAGGTCTGATACTGCTCGAGAACTGGCTCGACAAAGGAGGTGGTTCTTTGGAAGGAGATTGAAGTGCGGGTATTGGAGATTCTCCGTTGATTTTGATAATTTCATCTTGGGCCAGATAAGTTTTAGGACTTTTCAATTCAGCAAGCCGCGTATTGAAGTCTGCCACCGGAATCGGTGGAATGTATGTTGCAGGAGGAAGAGAGGATTGTGTTGTAGAAACAGAGCTGGCAGGATCTTCGGCTAGAATCTCGGGAGAGTCCGCTGTCTCTACCTGTTCTCGTTCCTTTGCTAGTTTTCCAACCAGTCTCTGCTTCTCCTTAGAAAGCACTGTTCGGTCACTCGTAGTCTTGGGAGGTGGGATGTTTGTTTCAGTCCTTTTTTCTGCTCCTCTGGAAGCCCAGTTTGAAATGAGATTTGCTGCCTGTCCATCACGATCCATCGAGTCTCGAGAAACGGCTGATTTCCCGGATTTTGAACGGGGTTGGCTTTCGCTTTCGCTTTGACCGTCGGTACTTGGTGCTCTTCTCGAGGAGCGAGAGTCTTCAATGGGATTTTCTCTCTCACTTATTTCCGATGCAGCACCTCTTAAACTTGGTATATCCCTGGGGGATGCCGTGGCCAACGAATGTTCACGACTGATTGTCAATTGTTTATATGATGGCTGCCTCTGAGCGGGTAGCTGTGAAATGGGTACGGTATAATCTTGCGAGTCAAACAGGGCGACGAGGGCCTCCTTTAGATTCTCCAGCATACGGGTTTGATCATGTAGTAAAATGGTTCTTTTGTCGGGGCTAACGTTAACATCATATAAATGTGTATCGAGTGTAATATTGGCAAATATGAAGGGGGATTGTGAGGCATTATACGACTTGTATACCTCGTTGAATGCTTTGGCTACTTGTGGCAATCCACATGGCCTTGCATTGACGAAGAACATCTGCCTATCTGGAGTTTGCCTGCCTTCTCCAGATGCTGGCCGTGATATGTGACCCACAATTTTGATATTCTTGTCCCCTCCATCCTCTTGTGTACTCCATCTCTGGCTGGGTGCACTTGTGGCCTCCAATTCCAAATTCAAGTCCAAAGGAACCAAAGCTGTGAGAGTCTTTGCACCGAAAACATTGACAATGTTTTCCCGTGTGGTTTTGTTCCCTCTAGTAGAGAATAAAGTGGTCTTTTTGCCCTTTCCTGCCTGTTGGGCGACTGAGAACTTGATTCCAGTTTGGATACAAGCGTATTGACCAAGAACCCCGACTACCCGGCCCCATTCTCGCTTTATGTTCCGTTCCAATTCTCTTCGTCTGACTGGAAGGTTGTTGAAAAGGTTCTCGACGGAGACTGTTGTGCCCTTCTGCGCTGCTACCACGCTCGTGCCTTTTAGTTTGCCAGAAACCTCGAACTCCAACTTGGTTCCTTTCGGAGCATCTTCCACCCGACATGTCGTCACGGACAATTGGGACAATGCGCATAGGGATGACAAAGCCTCGCCACGAAAGCCAAATGTCTGCAGAGTCGTGAGGTCGGAGTAGGTAGAGAGTTTTGAGGTATGGTGTTTTAGGGCCAGCGTCTCATAGTTCTGGGGCGAAATCCCATCGCCATTGTCTTGCACCTCTATCGATTCCAAGCCCTGGTTCTTGAAGCGGACATCTACAAAGGGGTCAGCGGGTTTTCCAAGCTGATGGCTGATAGCTTCGAAGCTGCTGGCGACCTACCAATGCTTGTGGCGCCGGCATCCAGACTGTTCTCAACTAGCTCTTTGACAACAGAACACAGGTCAACTATGACCTGACCGGACTGGATCTGGTGGACTGTCCGGCCTTCAATGGCTTTTATGGTGGCCATTTCATCGTATCGCGAGTTGTGCCTGTATTGCAGTTGGAGTCGGCGGAGTTGAGGGAGACGCGTTTGTAGGTTGCCACGCGTTAAGTGCTTTCCAGGAGGGGCAGGCGCCGGTGTTTACCCAGATGCACCTGCCCCCTTGCCCCTCACGTGCCCCTCCCCCTCCTCCTCCTTCGCGAGGGGCCACCACCACTTCCTTCTTCCTCCAAAATCAACGTCTTACACACGTCAGATTCTTGTTTCCTGTCACTGTATTTATTTTCATTCGAATAGCTTCATCGGCTCCTACAGTACCTGTTTACCACATACCGTACGGCTGTATTCCAGTTCAGATCAGGAAAGCAATACTGCGGTTCAACAGTAAGTAAATTTATGTAAGTCAACTTAATTGCTTCCTACTATAGCATTGCATTCTCTCCCCATCTTCTTCTGCCCACAATATCCTGTACTTAAACCGAAGCCCCTTCAGCAATTTCTTTCTCACATCTTTACCTCTGTTGGTGCGGGGTGTTTTCATGTTAAGCGAGCATTGCAGTTGCAACGCAGCTACTTGTACTGCACTCAAATCCAAGTAGAATTGGCAGTCCTCTCGAGTGCACTGACTCATGTCTATTCTCCACCTGTGAAACTCATAGTCTCCTCGATTTTGGCGAGTGTCCTCGTATATTCGGATAGGCTCTCTCTGGAATTCTTCAGCATGCTGCCCTGAATCCACTTTCAGTAACACTTAGTCAATCCAACCCGAAAAAAAAGGGTTTTCCTATACGATGTAGATCTTTCATCGCGGATCGACCCGCGTTCCCATACTTTCTTAGTGTTGCATACTCTCTTGATACAGTAAAATACTGTACTTACAGTAGCTGACTGTACTTAGAAGTGCTTGTCCAGAGCTAAAGGCCATTAAAGTTGCGACGAGATCGTCCGGAGGCATAGTCCGGTAAGGAACGTCTAGAGTGCGTTAAGATCACCCAAGGTTCTTGTACCTGCTAGTTACATGGAATATCGTACCAAGTGGAACTTGGAAAGAATGCTAAGGTATGTTTGTGGAGTACGGAACAGTGTACTGGAGTGAATTGGAGGCTTCTACTTGCTTAAGGATGCTTCGTATGCGTAGAAGATTGCGATGAGCGAGGTACAGTACGAGCTGATCTCTGAATAGGTAGCCTAACAAGTAGTCTTGTGACAAGACTACTTGTCGACTTCTGAGTACTCCACTTCCACCCACATACCTCCTTCCGAGGTTCGATTTACTACGGATTATAGTCGGATATGTGATGCCCGTAAATTCAATCATCCAGAGCGTTACCACACAACGGCCTGTCCGATTTCAGGGCGTGTTATGCTGGAATTTAGGACCAGTGACGATATTCTGTCCCTTGGCTTGAATTAACCCTTTTAAACTTTCGTGCGGTATTATTATGAACTCTTCGTAATTTAAAATATGACGCGAAAGCTTCTTAGACTTCTAGTTAGTAAAATACCCCATTATCTGGCGCTATGAAAGGTTGGCACAAACACACCTCTAAGTAAGATACCTGGACATTACTCTGTAAACCCCATATAAAGTTATTCTACCGAACTGCTAGCACAACTAAAATAATTATCTTAGTATACATAGGCTAATAAAAAGAAAGAGCTAACAATTATTCCAAACTCTCTGTATAACTCTTTCTTCACTCACTTGTGCGAGGCTTTTAGGATAATATTATTCCAAGAGAGCCTCTACAGAGTAATGACCACGTCTCTTACCGATAAAAGATATACCTACCAAGGCCACAGCCAGGCTCATTTTCTTGGATCGCCTTGCGAATCCAATAAGCACCAATGCCAATCTCTTAAAACACCTTGACTCCCCGCAAAGTTTGCTGATAGATCAGCTTATCAGTTTTGCATGGGCTTCAATGACTGCGAATATGGACCGCTCGCGTGTCCGTTTTCCCGAATACCGCCAAAGAGCGGCTTGAATTTTATTCATAGAGGCCCGAGGGCTTACACCCAAGACTTTTGGCCTTGGCCACACCAAAAACCCTGTGGAGCTGCCCATGCAACTTTTCTTCATACTAGGGATTTTGCGCTTTTTGGGGTAAGATAAAACACTGGTTATCATGGCCCGGTTATTATGGGGACAGATTGCTACTGCTTTTGGTGTACGAAGTTAAACAGCGACTTTGTACTAAGTACGGAGTCCTCAGGGTCTTGGGGGAAGAGGGAGGTTTGGTGGGATAAAGAACGGACAAAAGTTGATCCTACAGTAATTTGAAATACAGAAAGCGGTCCTAGAGAGGGTGGAATCCCAATTATGACTCAATTTCGAAATATGACCCATCTACTGTGCAGCATTACTGATCTTCTGTTCTTCAGTCAGAGCTTAGAGCTATTACCAGCCTCAGGGTGCAGGTCGAGGGTGACACGTGGATGTGTTAGGACTGCTAAGTTTACTCTGGAAACAGCAGTCAAAACCGGGAACGATAACTAAAATAAGGGTACAAGTATTGTGGAGACATCCCTTGTAAACCCTTGCACGAAGTAAACCCGACTGTTTGACCCCGCAATCCTTGCCAACCAACTGGTTCCTCCGTCGTCTTACGGGGCTGTTCCGGCGGAAACGATTGGTTTCCATGGTGAAGTTTGAAGTAATCCATGTATAAGCCCACGCATTACTCCCTCAGCCACCAAAATACTACTACTACACGTGATGTATTTCCCTACATTATTAATAAATACACGCTGGAAGCTTAATGCTACGCGAGGGTGGGGTTAGGACTAGTCCTAGGTGTCTCAGGGTTGGCTAATGATTTTTGGCGGTTTTCTAGTATGGCCACAACTACTTCGTAAGTGCCGGTTTGGTTCTGACAAAAACCCTCTATTGAGTCTTTGTGCGCATTTTGAGTGACATCAGAGGTTTGATTAAGCTTAGAGTGGACGGGGAAATGAAAGTGGAAGGGGAAGTGAAATACAAAGTAGAAATACGAAGTAGAGAGTGGAAGTGGAAATGGAAGTGGACTGCATATAGACAAGAATAGCACTTCCTTTTGCCACTTGCTTCTTGAGAGTGCTCTCCGCGAACTTGTGGCTAAGTCTGGACAGTACAGAGTCCTTACGCCTATTCTGGCTTATAACTCATCAAGATCTAGATTCTAGCCTTTGTGAAAATCGTGGGCAGCATTCACACAGGGTCTTTGTGATCAAAGGTGATTTCCTGCTAATGCTTGATTGCGTACAAGAGATATACGAAGTACTTCGTACTACTTCGTGTGAAGTGCCGGCTCTCCAAGGTCGAGAGTGTCTAGCTACGAAGTACAAAACAGACACCGATATTGGCACCTTTTATCACAAAACTAAATTCACCATGCAATTTAATTCAAAGTCTTTAGAGATTTCTTTCGCTCTGAATCGAGAAGTAGCGCGGAGATACCAACGGGACAGCACTTTTTGGAACTTCTACTGGCTTGCTCGAGTAGGCGCCCTAGAAGCCAAGACATAACCCCCAAAACCTTCCTATCCATAGATCTGAGGGTATCACAATCAGTTCATCTCTCGCGCGCAACCCAGAAAACGGCATGTGGAGTTCTGAAAACCCTTAATTGAAGCTCCGTCATCTGAACTGGGCCACGAACCAGGATTAGACTGTCAGGGTGTCTCAGTTGTTTCCTTTTGGCGTTTGATAGCTTGCGATACTGTACCAAATTCGACGGTGGCGTACCGTTCAAAACTCGTTTCGGTGGCCAAGCTGTAGACGCCTTACAGTACGGAGCTTTTGGCCTTGTCTACACCAGGGAATATCTACACCAGATCCCCGGGGCTGCCCTTGCAGCACCCTTTGAAGCCCCCACCAGAACTCGGAGCACTTTCGAAATAGGAGTGAGTGTGGATTTTACCGAGGATCAACATCAACTTAACTTCAATAGGGCCTTCTTATGGCACTTGCGGCATTGATTTCCTCGGAAATCATCTCTAGGACGCCCACTTTGGACCCCAGGCATGTACACCACGGGCCTCCGAAAACTGTTTTTATGTTATGATCGAGGTCCCAGTTGAATTGGTAAGTTTGATATGGAATCACTGATGTCTGCTTCTACACATATCACTTCGTCAATACCTTTCTCCATTGATTCTGGGAGTTAAACCTCATCGGCAGCAGATTGCCAAGTTAGTGACCCTCGATGGCTTTCTCTCCAGCGCCATCAGCAGTGAGAGTTATTGTGGTCACAGCTGTCTTCACCTGCTTTTCCTTTGCATTTGTTGGGCTAAGATTGGTTTCAAGATTTGGGTTCACAAAATCGGGGAAGCGCGATGAAATCGCTATTGTTGGATCTTTGGTAAGTTTTCATATCACTATTCCTTGATTCTAACATAATTCGCGACTCGGAATATTGATGCTAATATAGGGTAGTTTGCTGCTATCGCGGTTCTGGTGTTAACCGTTCGAGGTGTGCTACTTACGAGAACCAAACGTTGCGTCCGAAAAAAGTGGCTGACTTGAGTATAATAGAAGCAAGATATGGAATGGGAAAACCAAACTCGGAGCGAACACTAAACGACACGGAAGAATTCATGAGGGTTAGTCAACGCTATGAACCGTTTCCATAGCCCTGAGTTAACAATACAATAACAGAGTCTATATCTTGCCATAATATTTTATAATGTCTCCCTGAGCCTCACCAAATTCGCAATCATCCTCCAATACATGCGAGTATTTACAACCGGGCGAGTCAAATTCTGGTGCAAAGTTTCCATTTGGGTGGTCATTGTCTTTGGAGTCGAGTGCCTACTACATTCCATTTTTACATGCTGGCCGGTGTATAAATTCTACAAAGTTACAATGACGACTGGCCGTTGTATCGATAACAGAATACTGTGGTATCTCAATATGGTACTTTCAGCTATTACAGACATTATGTTGCTAGTGCTGCCAATACCAGTTCTGTTGAAGTTGGCTTTGCCGAGGAAACAGAAGATGCTGTTGATGGGAATCTTTTCGCTTGGGGGATTGTATGTGGTGTCATAAACGAAATCGTAAGAGAACTTAGCTGATGTTCAACAGTGCGCTTTTAGTGAGTTTTATACGGTTGCATAGTTTGATAGAGGCGGCGACCTCAGATGATATTATCCGTAAGTTTTCTCTCTGAACAAGTAATCCCGCATACACATACAAAAGCTAAAATTCATGCAGTCGTAAACACCTCTAGCGGCATGTGGTCAGCCATAGAGGTAAACGTGGGAATCATATGTGCCTGTCTGCAAACCCTCCGTCCTCTCATGGCTAGAGTCTTCCCCAATCTCTTTGCATCCACAACTCTGGATCAACGCGGTTACGGAAACTCAAACAAAGTACCTTCGAGGGGGTGCATTCAAAGTGGCTCAAATGCCAGAGATTTTGAGCTGGATCGCAGGAGCAGAATGGATATGCCACTACCAAACAAAGTCGTTACTACCGCTAATACTTCTACGGAGATTTTGCGAGGGGGGGATGATGCAGAAGGAGAGAACAGAATTATGGTCACCAAATCTATTGATGTTAAGGTGGAGCATTCCAAAGTTCCTGAAAGCCCTTATAGGATGATTTGATGTGAATTGATGTTTTATTTAGTCGTTAGCAGAAAAATAATGAAATAATATCACCGTTCGTCTTTGCGTACAGTACGACAGGAGACGGAGTGAAAGCGTCTTCCTAAGCGAATATCAAAACAGCCAAAAGAGAGAAGAAGACAAATGGGCAAAGAGGGTACCAGAACCATGCAACCTTGAGAATAGGCCACAAGAGTTTTCCTTTCGAAATGCAGGAGCTACTGCAACGAAGGCTGGGGAAAACGATGATCCTCCTATGCACGTTTCCCTCGCATGCTTGGTTTTGAGGGATATTTTTCTTCCTTGTCTTGTGACTAATTTACTCTCCAATCGCCTTCATATGCAACCCACCAAGCTACTCGAGTAGTGTGAGATCTGAGGTTTATAAAATGCTGCCTCCTCATTCTCTGGAACCGAGCTTGTGAATCTCACTGCAGCCGAGACCTACAGTCCCAACAAATGTCTTTCTAGCGCAAACAAGCAGATATTTTGGCGCATGACCTTTGTTTGTAGTCTTCCAATGGTTTTCTTTTCTTTTCTTTATTTTTCTCCACCTGGCTAGCCTTTGCGAGATTTTTTATCGGCCTCCATTTTTCACTAGCCGGTCATTTTTATGGCGAGGCACAGAGTACAACCAAGGGTTACGTCATGCGCTTGCCTTTTGATTATGGGGGTAATACCAGTGGATATCCAAAGGCTAGCTAGCTGATGCTGTTATGAAATCTTAAATAGACCATAGAGTCACAGACATCGAGTACGGAGTTTTAAAACATAATCAAGGGTATTCCGACCATGTAGTGGCTAGATTCGTATGATAAAAGGCGTTGAAGAAATGCAAGTATGTTCATGCGATGTAATGAGGTAGCTCGACAATACAAGACTTCCAGGAAATACTGCAGACGATGCTTCGAACTAATCAGGACATTGTGTAATACGCAGAACTTGGTGGTTGAGATAGTATGGTATTTTAGTCGAAGAGTTTCAAAGTGGGATGGAGAGCGAAGGCATGCAATTGCTTTACTAACCAAGGGTCGCTTTCGACGTGAGCTTTCTTTCAAGCGAGTTGAATGAAGATAGGGGAGTCTGAGCAACGCATAGATCTGCAATGGAATCGGGATTAGTAAGCTATAATACAGTACAAGATTTACACTTCATTTTCCCGGAATATATGAGGCAGGTCTTCACTTACTCTTCACTCGCCCCCCAAGAGAGTATCACGTAGGCACCTGTGAAGGCTGGTTTTGACAAGCGCTCGCCAAAGAGAAGGTTTTCATGTTACTGGATTGCTCCTCATTCCACTCTCGAATATTTTGGTATACTGGTCCTCCTCTCCAAAGACTTAAGGAATTATTGCTGCAGCGCGATATTTGAACTTCACTTGGGAACTGAACGCGACTTCGTTGCCTTCCTGGAGCTACAGTACTTCTCATGTCACTCGGAAAAAGTTATAAGGAACATCGTCTTTGAAATTAGAGTTTGATCCTTTATTAGCTATTGTGTTTAGAGAAGTTGCCAATAGTCTCTTATTTATCTGGCACATGAGGCATCTTGCCTAAAAGGTTCCACCATATCTCTATTCACCCACACCAAAAACGCCAGCGAGCTACCACCAAACATCAACTGTCAGCACACCCACCAACCCTCCCACCAAAAAAATAAATACCAAATAAAAAAACGGCAAAAGAACCTACGCCCTGCGGGCTGGCAAGGTTGAAAACCAGACGAACTGAGTTTTTCATTTTTAGCATAGCAAATCCACAAATCTACGAAATTGAAATTGGAAACAGCTAGTGGTGTGTTGGTACAATGGGAGTTAGTGCTTTGGAAATTGGCGCTGAATGGGAATACACACACTAACTGACTGGGCCAGGCGGACAGGTTTAATCCCAGTTTTGGTGGCAGTCGAGGTGTTGTTTTGGTACAAGTATACTTCTCGCTTAGATTTGTGGGCTTTTTGGGGAATTGGCTGTTGTGCGACCAATGATATTGCGTCGTTTGGTATAAGTTCGGGGGATAACGGCGGGCTGGATGGGGTGGTGAAATGTAGTGGTAGCTGGTTGGTGGATGTCAGCATCTATTGTTTTGCGATTTTTGTGGGCCTTAGGCCTACACGAGGGACTCGGCCTTTCTTTTTTGGCAAGTTTCACGACTTTTCTTTCCTGAACAACCATCTCCGGGATTGATATACAGTACAGAGCAGACTTAGCGCAGACTTTGCGTTCTTAAGTACAAGCTGTTAGGGGATTTCCGAAAGAGATCCTACGTTTTGATATCTTTAGATTTAAGCGAAGTGTACCCAAACCACTCGAACCGAAAATCCCAATCGTGTATCATTTTTACAAAACTCAAAATCTCGACGCCTCATTCTGAAACGGGATTGAGGAGGTTAGGCATATCGCCGAGGTGAAAGAATTGGTGAAGTGAAGTTTGTCTTCGACCAGTTATTTAAGCGAGAAACGAGATAGCAGGCTGGTCCACGAGAGTGAATATTTCGCATGAGCGCTTCAATATCCCAGCGTCCAGTCCATAAAGTTCCCAAACCTCAACCATTCTTTTGGCACAACGCGATCCTTTTCACAAACCTCAAGGACACACCCCTACCCAGCTTTCACTAGACGATGGCTTCTTCGGAGCAACCAGACAAATGAAAGACTCATATCGAAACCACCAAAACACAATCTTGCTTCTTCTGCCAAATACACCAAACCCCCCCTCCGCAACAGTACCCACAATCTAAAACCGCCTAATCGCAGCCTCCAGCCCCCTCGAACTCTCCAACCCCCTCAAACCACCTCCTCCCATCCCAGAAAACCCAAACCACCTCAGCAAACTCCCCTCAAGAAAAACCAACAAATCTGCTCTTCCTCTCTCCCCTCCAACGACATTCCAAACCCGAACCTCTCAAACGGGACAATAACACAAACATACAGCTTCTCAAACCCCACCTTCTCGCCGCACTCCGTTGCAATAAAATGCTGTACTCTACGAAGAAGCTATCCATCATCTACAAGAACACAACATTATACTTCTCCATCACCGACATCACCAACTTAAAAAAAGATTCCACTCGCCAAATGGCAATTAAAATATTCCCCATTTTAGTATCAACCTCTTGAGCTCCCCACAAACATCCTCACAACATCCAAAACAAATACGCGCTCCAACCCAATTTCCCAACCCACTGCAAACACCCCCACCGGCCCCAAAACCACAAACTTAACAAATTTCATCCCAGAACAAGTAATCATCATCACATACCACTAATACCCAAAAAAAACCCCACCCTAAAGATCAAACACCAAAATACCCCACTATACAGTACAGTACGACAACAAAAACCCTCGACTTAGAGTTCTACACTTCTCACCACTTACACAAGATACACCTAGGTATCTTCCACGAATCTTGAAGCCCACCCACTCACTCACTCACTTACCCACTTCATGACCAACGAATGACATAGAATTTTGAATACATCATTAACCATTGCTTCTGCTTTATTGTCAAAAAGATATTAATTAATACCACATCCACATCCACACCATGATATCTATCATACACTCGCCTTCTCACTCCTCCCTATAATACCACTAGAATGCTCAATCAAAGCCAGTAAGCTCAGCAAAAGAAGAGAAGGAAACCCCTAAAAAAATGCTTGCTATCCAAGCAAGACCCTGTCCAGCCACCAACTATAACTATGAAAGAAACCCTTCAAAGAGGCATAAGAAATGAAACGAGAATTATGCACAAGAAGCGAAATTATTCCTTCAACGTTCCAAGAAAAGCAATGTCGCTGCTTCCGAACTCTTAAAGTAGGACAGCAGCCAAGAATCCCACGCCAAGTAAAGCACAGCTTGCCACCTTCACATTGCTAGCACCGCTCTTCTTGGTAGGAGTTGGTGATGATGAAGGGGTAGTACCAGTAGGAGATGTAACTGGGGTTTGGCCGCTGGGTGTGTTGCTTTGGTCATCAGCCAATACAGTGATGCTCAAGTCCATGGGGGCACCACTGGATGACTGGACGCCCAAGGTAACCTTGGTAGTAGTGACAGGGACAAGTTTCCCTGAATTTGACGTCTTGATGCCATTATCAATGAGCTCCTGTGCTCTGGAGGGAAGAGAAGGGATGGTGAAATTGTTATAAAAGTCGGTTGTGATCAAATTAGAAGCACACCTTGGTGGGACAACAGATGTGTTTTCTGCTTTAACTCCTTGGAGAGCGGTCACATTCAGTTTGTTGTATTGGCCTTGAAGCGCGTCGAAATCTGCGCGAAGTTGAACGGATCCATCAGTGTTGATGGTTACAAGGCCGTAGTCTGATTTTTCTTGTGAATACTCGTAGACCAAACCACCAGACATGACTGGTGTCATTAAAGGTCCGTACAAAACTGGGACCTCGGTGAATATACGTGGGGAAGGCTTATTGCAACCACTAAAATAAAGTTAGTCAGTCTAAGCAATTAAGAGGATGTGACATTTTTTGCGACTAGGCAGGTATTAGGATTCACTTACTATTCAGAAAAGAAAATTGGAACACTGGTGTTTTTGAAGTCGGAAATCAATCTATCGTACGAACTCGTCTGAAAGTTCGCATCACCACACCAGGAGTAGCTGTTGAGAGCAAATAGATCCACACGGGAAGGATCAGAAGCATCACCAGTGGTGGAGCACTGGAGATAGTTCCACGAGTCGAGAAGGTTATCTCTAACATCAGCAGCACTGTATCCAACTGGAATAACTCGCTTGGAGTGCTTTGCGATATAATTTTTGAGGTCTCGAGTGACAGCCTATTACTTTTAGGATGAATGAGCTAGGCACTGGGGAAAGAGAACTTACTCTCATATAAGGAGGAATGACTTTTCCACTGGAAACATCGTTGATAACCTCATTACCAGCAAAGAAAAGTAAAGTGTTTGGATAGTTTTTGAAAGCCTCAACGACAGCGAAAGTTCGATTCAGGTAGGAAGAAGTATAGCTGGAAGAAGGATCGCCTCTGTTGATGCTCTCACCGGAGAAAGGAGAATTGACATCGAGAAGCATATAAATTCCGACCTGGATCCATTAGTCCAGAGCTTAGAATTGTGAAGCAGTTGACTTACAGCGTTGAAAATGGACGCACACTCGTCATGGTTGATGTCAGGAGAGACATTATACTAATCAATCAATGTCAGTGAAATCCCGCAGTAATTCCCAGAAGACATATAAACCCATTCTCCCCCTCTCCATCCAAACCAATCCCCCGCAATCGCCTTCGGCGCAAGAAAGAGAAAGGAAAATTAGGAATCCTTACAACACGAATAGCATTAACCCCCAATCTTTGCATCAACGCCGCATCCCTCAAACAAACCGTCCCATTACTGAGCGCATCGACTCCACTCTGGGGTTTATAGCCAGCCTCACCACCAGGTTGATACGCAACCCCCACAATCTGATATCGATTCCCCGTATTGGAATTGACAAAGTTGGAACCCTCAATAACCAGCGATTGAACCGCGAGAGTAGTCGTGGCATAGAGCGCAACGAGCGCAATCTGTAGAAAACGCGATTGTCAGTATGAGGCTGGTAATAAGGCGACGAGGATGACGAGAATGTTTCAATTCCCCTGGAAGAAGACAAGCAACATTGCAAGACCCGCCCACACATGTCCCATCCTGTTCTTCCCCACGAAACGATTGCTGCACCTGCACCTGCATCCCAGACTCCCACGTACCGTATTCTTCAACATCCTGCGAAAAAGCGTCTCGGAACCTTGCAATAGATCTACTGTCTCAGACCACCTCGATGGTAAACTTCCGGATGCTTGCGATAGTACTCGAATACAGAAAACGAGCGCGACGAAGCTGCGACAACAACAACAAGAACGAACGACTCAAACGAACGGAACGCGACCAGCAACAAAACAAGACTAACGAGCGTAGGCTCCGTAGAGTGTTTGAGAAAACAGAAACTGAGGTGGGGAAATCAGAATGAGGCGCAAATTAGTCTGGCGAACAGAGCTTACTTTCCAATCTCCGGGGTAACTGCGCAAGATCGTTTCTCCGATCGGCGAGCTTCTCTGTTGCGCTTACCCCTCGACGTTGGCCAATGATGAGTTGCGAATTGCAGTTTCCTCTGTTTTCTGGTGAACTGAAGTTGCTGAGATTCGAGAGAAGATATAGCTACCTATACTGAACTGCAGGAGCGCTCATGATACTGTCGATTTATTCACGACAAAAATAAAACATCGTCGGAACTCCAAGAACTATTTATAAACTCGAAACTGACAGGTATATATTTATATCCTTCACCACGGAATGAGCGTTCCCAAAGCAAAGAGGGAAATTCTTACGCTTCAATCACTACTTTATCAATTGGGAACACGGCTAATAATTATTGATCTTTTGCAATTCATACGTCGTTCGCTATGTGAACACTTATTGTAACATAGGCCCGGCAACATTTTCCCGTGAGCTCCAGCAAGCAAAGCTAAGTTGTGGTGCCATAGTAATTCTCAGGTCTACCATATGCTCCTTCCACGGCATAAAAAGATTAAACGCCACAAGTCACCATCCCTTCATCAAAAATAAGAAACATCTACATCTGAACCTCAACGCGTCCCTCAGCACCTGGTGCACCACTGGACAAGCTTGGGAGGAGGTAGGTGATATCATCCCAAGGATGTCTGTAGAGACCAGTGCGCAGTCTCTTCTGATCAAGGTAATGTGCGATCAATCCGATGCTGCGACCCAAGACAAACAGACCGTTCAAGACACCCATTTGAAGGTAGTCCTCGGCCTCCTCAGCGCTGAAGGCACCACAGTTGCGCATCAGATCAACGAAGCAGACAGCAACGGCACCATCGACGTTCAAAATCAAGTTGTCCTTCTTGGAGGTCGTGACAGACTCAACAGCAAGAGCATAGTCAAGCATCTTGCAGCTGGGGAAACGCTTCTTGACAAACTCCTTGACGAGCTCGACTCGGAGATCTGGGTTGTTGCGAGACTTGACCTTGTGGCCAATACCTGGAATGAGCTTGTTCTGCTTGCGCATGGAGTCAACGAAATCACGTGGACTGAGACCCTTGTCAAAGGCCTTGGTGAACTCCTCAGCAGCTCCATCAAGAGCACCACCGAAGCGGGATCCGATGGTCAAAAGACCACTGACAAGAGCACTGATCAAATCCTTTCCGGCTCTGGTGGTGATAATGGTGTTCATGGCACCAGAGACAGCTGGTCCGTGATCGGCAGTCAACATGAGGACCATCTCGAGGAACTTGCTAGCGTAATCTGGTAGACGACGACGGAACCACAAAAGGGACATAACACCTCCAATTCCAATATCCTCCTTGAAAACATCCGAGATTGGCATACCAGCGTACAAAAGCTCCTGTCCACGATCATCAGAGATGGTCGAGATGAAAGCAGCTGGTTTTCTGATCAAGCCAAGCTCTTGGGCCCATGAGTAATCAATTGGGATCTTTGGTACGATTGGCTCAGGTTGTGGAACAATTGTGCCCTTCTTGACAAGAGTTTGGTAAACTTGAGCAAGGAGAGCTGGCATGTCCTCAAAGGTTTCTGGGACGAAGAAGCCTGCTTCCTTCATCGACTTGTTCTTGGTTGCGGCAGTCTCGAGTTGAGAGTTGGCGAAAGATCCAGCGTGGCCGAATTGGACCTCCGTCTTGAACATGCTTGCGCAAGTTCCAATAGCCCATGCGACAATTGGCTTGGTGATCTTTCCAGATTTGACAGCCTCAATCACACGGTATTCCTCAACACCTCCGACTTCTCCCAAAAGAAGCAAGATTTTGCACTCTGGGTCGGCCTCGTATCGTAGAAGATGGTCGATAAAGGTTGTGCTTGGGTATCTGTCACCACCAATGGCAACACCTTCATATACACCATCGGTAGTGTTGGCGATGATGTTGTTGAGTTCGTTGGACATACCACCGGACTTGGATACGTATCCAACTGATCCCTTGCGGTACAGCTTGGAGGCGACAATGTTGTCCATCATACCACCAGTGTTACCGATCTTGAAGGATCCAGGCTTGATTCCACCAACAGTGGCTGGACCAATAATGGTAATGCCCTTCTTTTGGGCTACGTGAAGGATTTCACGAGCACGCTATTAAGTTGTTAGACAGGACTTTGAGACTTTGCCCATGTAGCTTCGACTTACTCGTTCTGGCACACCCTCGGCAATAATGGCAATAGACTTGATTTGGGGGAATTCCATAAGCCCCATAGTAGAACTGTAGACACTACGAGAGGAAGCAAAGTTGACAACAGTGTCAACGTCGCTGTGCTTGGCCATAGCCTTCTCAACATCTTGGTAGACTGGAAGTAAAGTCTCGCTGGTGCCCCAGTACATCTTGCTCACGAATTGACCTCCAAATGTGTAGATGATACCGGCGACTGAGGGGGTTTTACGCTTGCAGATAAAATCGAAATCCAGCATGCCCTGGACGGCTCGTGGCTGGAGACCGTAAACGAAGCATCGTGTCTTATCGTGGAAAAGTGTGTGTTCTGCTCGAGGGCTCAAAGGACGACTTGGGGCAGCAAATCGGCGAATGTTGTCGTTGGCATTAGCAGAAAGGCCATTTGATGGAGGGGCAGCCCCGTTTCCATTTGTGGTGGCAGCAGGCATCGTGAGAAGTTTGAAAGAGGCAGAGAATCTGAAGAAAGAGGAGGGTTAGCAATTGGGATGTAGTTCCGTCGAAGGTTGAAAAGTGCCTGCAGGATGAAGTGTTCCAGATTTCCCGCAGAAAAGACGTGGTGAGCTGACAAGGGAGAGGAAAAGGAACATACATTGACTTTCCACTGCAGACAAGGAAGCCGAAGACTAGAGTATTTGATGCTCAAGTCAAGGGAGAGGAGTCAAGGAGATGGTGGGGGGGGGAGAAGTGGTGAATGGGGAGAATGGGGAGAATGGGAGATTTGTTCGGGGATCGAGAGAGAATGAAGCCAATATCTTGTTGAAGACCCGAGCGTGGATCGTCCAAAGGTGTGGGTGTGGTGGGTGAAGGTGGGCGCTGGGAATGCTTTTTTGGTGTGTTGCGAAAGCCGGCCGCTGCTGCTGTCAGGCACACCGTCACCCAATGGTTGGGGGGAAGCAGGATCGGAGAGGCAAGAGCGGCGCCCAACAGTTTGTGACATCAAACCTAGAGAGCAGGTCTTGACGAAATGGTTGACGCGGATAACTCAACACACCAAGTGAGATACCGCAAGATCCCACTTCCGTGATCTCGATATTCTCCCCACCAGATTTTGGTCAGCACAAGTAATGGCCGCAGTGGACACAGCGTTGTGAAAATAGTACCGACGAGTAGGGTAATAATAGGTCATCGGCGATAGCTTCAGGGACTCGCAGCTTGGGCACAGGCACAGGCGTAGGCGCAGGCGCAAGCGGTGGCTTGAAGCAACGGGAAGGGACGACCCAGCCAAATCGACGCCGCTTTTACACAATCCCCCCTGCAGCAGAGCCCCTACCCCTGGCAATCCCGACCAGTGCAGCAGGCGCGACCCCGAAAGTGCTGTCATCTGTTGGGATTTAGCGTTGGTGCTCCCAAAATTGTCGAGGAAGGTGCGCAGAATGGTTCGGTGTCCGTAACCAACGGTAGGGTCGTTCACTCGTACGTACCGCCCTCGTCCCTCCATCCCTCCATCAGCTCGACCGCTGCTTGTATTGGTGTCCCCTCCAAAAAAAAAAGTACGAACTCCGTCCTTACTCCATCCCCCCATCCAAATTTCTCCTCTCCTCCACTTCATCCACGATCCCGAGACTCGTTGAATTACCATTCCATTTCTTGACCCCATCGCCCTGCTTTTAAAAGGTTCCCTTTGGTATGTGTGCCCTTTCTTAGAGCTCCGAACTTTCCCCTCGCCCAGTTCACCCCTCACATTCTGTCCATATCCCCCAATCCTGTCAATTATACCATTCGAGATCTGCTGCACGGCTCTCTTATCTGAGGAGCCCTTGTGACCGATCGTAGTCGAGTACCGTCTGCTGTGAGAAGTCCTGAGAAATTCACTAGGTGTGAACCAACCGATTCCCCCCACAAGCTCTTGAGACCTCCAACCTGTCCGTGAAGCGTCCCCGGCACTCGACAAACTCCAGCTTAGAACCGCTTCAACAAGAAACCGAAAGCTAATCTGCGTGATTATCTAGAAACTTCTTCACATACCTCAAAATGGCCGCCAAATCGATCCTCGAAGCTGATGGAAAGGCCATCCTCAACTACCACCTCACCAGAGCTCCAGTCATCAAGCCATCTCCTCTCCCAAAATCCGCCACACACAACGCCCCTCCAAAGCTCGCATCTCTATACTTCCCAGAAGATGCAGAGGTTTCAGCAATTCTTGACCAGGCAGAGGTCTCATACCCATGGCTTCTTGTCCCCGGTTCCAAATTTGTCGCTAAGCCAGATCAATTGATCAAGCGCCGTGGAAAGAGTGGCCTGTTGGCCTTGAACAAGACATGGCCAGAGGCAAAGGCTTGGATTGCTGAGCGTGCTGGCAAGGAGCAAAAGGTCGAGACAGTGATGGGTGTTTTGCGACAGTTCTTGGTTGAACCTTTCGTACCCCATCCAGACGGAACCGAGTACTACATCAACATCAACTCGCAAAGAGAGGTATGTGGGAACTTCTTTCCTTTCGTGTTGCAGACTCCAACCCCGTGGGGCGGAAAAGTGGTGTCGAAATTCACATTTCGAACTCGGACTCCGAAAAAGGAATCCGAATCCAAATGAGATGGGCATGTTTTTTCTTGGTCAGAAATTGCATCTTTTCTCAAGTGAGAAATCGTTGTACCTCGGTGGGAATCCACGACCTTTTGTCGTTGCAGCACGGCCACATGCGCGTTTCGGCAAATTCCCCGGGCGAGCGGAAGCTAGAGGAGATCAGTTATAGAAGAACCAGAACCAGATCACAGCTTAGTCCCGGGAAGCTTTGGTACCTGCATCTGTCCTCTCTCCGCATATAAGGCTTAAATTGTGTAACGATTGCAGTGGCACGTTGTGCGGTTATTTTTACCATGTCATGGCTTGGTGGTCTAAGTCAACGCGACAGCACAGCTGGTCTTGTCAAACCCCTGCTGTTCTTCAGGGGTCAAATTTCCACTCTTGCACAATAAATATGCGTTGATAAACTTTACTAACATACACCTCTTCAACAGGGTGACTGGATTCTATTCACACACGAGGGAGGTGTTGATGTTGGAGACGTTGACGAGAAGGCCGAGAAACTCCTAGTCCCAGTCGACCTTTCAGAATACCCATCAAACGAGGAGATTGCCGCAACCTTACTCAAGAAGGTTCCAAAGGGTGTACACAACGTTCTCGTCGACTTCATTACACGATTATACGCCGTTTATGTCGACTGTCAATTCACATACCTTGAGATCAACCCACTGGTTGTTATTCCCAACGCCGATGCCACATCCGCTGAGGTTCACTTCCTGGATTTGGCTGCTAAGCTCGATCAAACTGCCGAGTTTGAGTGTGGTGTCAAATGGGCCGTTGCACGCTCACCTGCTGCCCTCGGTATGGCTGCTGTCAAGGCAGCTGATGGAAAGGTCAACATTGACGCTGGTCCACCAATGGAATTTCCAGCTCCTTTCGGTCGTGAGATGAGCAAGGAGGAGGCTTATATTGCTGAGCTTGACGCCAAGACTGGTGCTTCTCTCAAGCTCACCATCCTCAACTCCAATGGCCGAGTATGGACTCTGGTCGCTGGTGGTGGTGCTTCCGTCGTCTATGCCGATGCCATTGCAAGCAGTGGATTTTCTGACGAGCTCGCCAACTACGGTGAATACTCCGGAGCCCCTACGGAGACACAAACCTTCCATTATGCACGAACAGTCATTGACCTTATGCTCCGAGCTCCTATGCACCCTGAGGGTAAGGTCTTGTTCATTGGTGGTGGTATTGCCAACTTTACCAACGTTGCTTCTACTTTCAAGGGTGTTATCCGCGCTCTTAAGGAGTTCAGCCCACAATTGATTGAGCACAAGGTTCAAATCTGGGTCAGACGTGCTGGTCCTAACTACCAGGAGGGATTGAAGAACATCAAGGCCGTTGGTCAAGAACTAAACCTTGATATGCACGTTTATGGCCCTGAGATGCATGTCAGTGGTATTGTTCCTTTGGCTTTGATTCCAGGACGTTTGGCCCAGAGTAAGGTTGAGGAGTTCAAGGGTTGAAAGGATGTTTAGATGAAATTTTCTGCAAGGGGTTTTTTTGGGCATCTGTTTGAGCTGCAAGATGATGGTGGTGGGATATACCCACCTTGGACGTTATACATAGACACTCATAATTGCCTTTGGTGGGTTGCTAGCACTGTGTAATCTGGTAGGCGTTGGCGAGGGATCTGTGGTCACGTCTTGAGCATGAGAGCGCAAAAATAAACTATTTCACGATTAACATTATCTCCAACCTGCTTTTCGTTGATGGCTATCATGCCTGTAAATTAAGGGAATGAGGAAGAAAAAAATTGACCCTCTTGGTTGGCAAGAAAATTGATAGGTAATAAATGATTTCACTCGTAAAGTTGGAAGTGTTATTGTTTCTCTGCTCTCTTTTAAGGACCCTAGGACCCTAAGGTAGATTTACTATACCAGAGTAACCATACCAAATCATCGATAATCTCTTTACAGTAACACTGTATCCTTCATTCACATTATCCCATATCTGATACTTAAGTAGAACATAGCCTAGTCACGCCCTGGACATCCAACATCCACTCTCTCTACTACACCGCTCCCAGCTTTACACACACCATGGTTCTTGTTTAGGATATAGTATAGTGATACGCTAGAAACTCATACAGTGAGCTATGAAAGCCCCAGGAGAAGGATGTTACTAGTAATCTTACTGTATACGTATGATGCCAGAACACACCCTATGCGACCCGAAATGCTATGTAGTAAGACTTACAGTACCTAGTCTTCTACTTAAGAGTGAGACTTCGTATTTTGGGCGTGGATTTATATAGCTAGCTAGGTTCCACCAGCTGATCTAGATTTCGCGAATGCTACGGGGGAGTTTCGTGATGGGTTGGATGTTACACGTACAAGTAACGTACTGTACAAGTATCAAGAAAGAGCAAGATTAGTTTCTTCAGCTGAATACTCGTATTACTATGGTATCAAGCATTTTGTGTCATTTATCATGAACTAGTCTAGTGCGGTGCTAAGTTTGAAACCTTATTTATTGGCTCTTTAAGGAGGTCTAGCTAGACTACCAAGGGAAGAAACAGAAAAAGGGGGAAATTTTGATTGTACCAAAATAATGACATTATGACCAAGACTACGATGAACAGACTTCTCGAGATGTCCTTTAATGTCGGATCATCGATTATACTGGTCATGCCAGCAGGAAATCTAGGGAGGAATTTAGGGGAATTCTAGCGTCATAATGATTCTGCTCGGGGTTATCTCTTTATCAACGGATGATTTCCTAAATATTAGCGAGTACTTACTGACTCTATATTCCTGAGGTACCGCCGCGGAAGGTTGGAAGTCTTTTCTTTAGTACCTTACGCAACCCAGTCTGATTGTGTAATGCGGTCGAAATCTATGGAACGACTGAATGGCAGGTCACAGAATTAGTTCATTCAATTGACCTGCCCCGTAAAACCGAGTAAGTAATCATCCATCTCACTCATCAATTCAACAACGAACGTCTTGATTCATGGCCCTGGTGGAGAGTGCTAGATCGCTGTCTGTAAAGGTAAGTAGACGAGGAGCTACCGAGGTTCGCGAGTATTGGCATAAGGAATTATTTTTGATGATCAGATTCAATTTGAGACCTGGGTCAAGTGGCGATATGTTAGCAAAAATTTGGCATTAAAAGCTAGAACATGAACCTTACTTGTTTAGGCGTCACCCCTTCCTCCCACGCGATTCCCTTGCCAGAAATGCATTGCATTTTCTCAGCGATTGTTTTTTAATAATTTTACAATGACATTCTCCCTTATGCTAGGAGATCTGCAACGTTCATTGGCATCTCATCGATTTGAGTCGAGTAGTACACTATTATCTATTAGCTTGGATTTAAAGTCTGGATTTAAGGATAACTTACACTCAATATCTCGCAAAATTCTTACGTCCTCACTTGTCACAAAGTTGATGGCAACACCCTTTCGCCCGAATCTACCAGATCTACCAATGCGGTGGATGTAGTTCTCACGGTTGCTTGGCAAGTCGTAGTTAATGACCAAAGATACCTGTTGAACATCGATACCACGAGCCCAAACATCGGTAGATATCAAAACTCTCGAGTTTCCTTGACGGAAGTCCTGCATGATGCTGTCTCTCTCCTTCTGTGGCATTTCTCCATGCATCGAAGATACAGTGAAGTTTGCTTCACGCATCTTATCGGTCAACCAGTCCACCTTTCTGCGAGTGTTGCAAAAGATAACTGCTTGAGTAATGGTGAGGGTATCGTAGAGATCACAGAGAGTATCGAACTTCCATTCCTCCTTCTCTACAGCGATAAAGTATTGCTTCAAACCCTCCAATGTCAGTTCATCACGCTTGACGAGAATACGAACAGGATCGGTCATGAATTTAGTGGTCATATCGAGGACATCGTATGGAAGAGTAGCGGAGACAACCACAACTTGAGTTGCCGGAGGAAGATATCGGTAGACATCGTAGATTTGTTCACGAAAACCACGGTTCAACAATTCATCAGCTTCATCCAGAACCAACATTTTGATATGACGAGTTCGAAGATTTCGGCGGCGAATCATATCAGCAACTCGACCTGGCGTCCCGGATACAATGTGCTGGCCGTATTCGAGCTTGCGGATGTCCTCTCCAACGTTGGTTCCTCCAATACATGCATGACATTGTACGTTCATGTAATCTCCTAGGGCCATGACAACTGACTGAATTTGAGTCGCGAGTTCTCGAGTGGGGGAGAGGACGAGGGCCTGTGTTTCGCGGACGGCTGTGTCGATGACTTGGAGCATACTGATGGAGAAGGTAGCGGTTTTACCAGTACCAGATTGCGCCTGAGCGATGGTGTCGCGACCTTTGCAGATTTGGACAATCGCACGAGATTGGACAGCTGACGGCGACTCGTAACCATAAGCGTAGATGCCACGAAGAAGATTTTCTATTCCTTGTTAAAATGTAGTACTTGGAATGGGAGGAAGGCTTCTTACCTTTCAGGTGCATGTCAGAGAAAGTAGGAATAACCGTCACATCCTTCGAGGTGGAGAATTCCATCCTCTCCTCGGCCTTGCGATCAATACCGTCTGCCATGATTGCGATTGTATTTGGATGAGGAGTAGAAGTGTAGGTGGTGTTGTTGTGGAGGTTGTTTTGGAGAAGGACGGCGAGCTACAAGTACTGAAGGCGAGAGGCTCAAAATTTGGTTGAGAGGTCTCGGTCGCGAAAGGGAGTTGATTGGACGGCGCATCGCCAGCCTCGAAACCTCCGAGCAGAGCTCATAACTCAACTGTCATACAAAATTCACCAACCTTACCCTCCGTTATTTGTCTGCGCGATCAACGTGCTTTACCTGCCTGGATCAAATCGTAGAGCTGCCGGAAATTGGAGCATACATCTGCCACGCCTACTGCATAACAACGAGGCCGCAACCATGATCTTAGAAGAACAGAGAATCCTCCACGAGGATCTCGAAAGGCTCGAGCAGGCCATCAGCGACAGAGTGGCTGAAGACCCTAGGCAGGTAAGGCCAACCATATATATCATTGGTTTTGCAGTATCAAACTAACATCTGCAGGTACGAGAAAGATTAAATCGGGACCACCAAATCTCAGGCTTTCTGGATCGCATCCAAGTCCAATCCAAAAGATTACTCGATATCTACAAAGATGCGGACGGCACCCGAACGAAAGAAATACAATCGATATCCACGGGCGATCCTCTGAAGGAATTTTATAATCAGCTATCTGACATCAAGACGTTCCACCAGAAATACCCCAATGAACCAGTCGAGAATTTGGAGAAGGCGTACAAGAAGAAGGCACCGGCGGAGGGAGAGACCATGGTGTCAGAGGTTGACAACATGTTTACTGGAGAGGAAGCTTTCGGCCGTTTCTTTGATCTTACGACCATCCACGAACTTTACCTCAACTTACCAGGGATCAAGCGTCAAACCTACCTCCAATACCTCGATTCCTTCGATAGCTTCACACCTCCACAGTGCAACATCAAGCGCCCAGACAAGATGACGGATCAGTATTTTAGATATGTTGGTGAGCTTGCAAATTATTTGGAAAGCTTCTTACAACGCACCCGTCCTCTCGAGAATCTAGAAAAGCTGTTCACCAGCTTCGACGAATATTTCACGAAAGCTTGGGAGAATAATGATGTTCGTGGTTGGGCTCTGGAGATACCTGCGCCATCAAATGCCCCAGCGGGAGACGTTATTTGGTGTGCGGATTGCGAAAAGGAGTTTAAGAACGAGAATGTTCACAAGGCACATCTGACTGGGAAAAAGCACATTCGGGCAGCAGAATTAAGGAAAGCACGCCAGGCAGAAAATGGAGATGATGCCAACAATTCTGAAAAACGAGGTCCATCCACCTTGCGGCTGAAGGAGAGGGCCATTGCAGAACGAGAACATAGAGTGAAACGTCTTGCTGCTGCGATGTCACAGGAGAGAAGCGATACCCGTGTCAATATTGAGAGAAGACAGGGAATGACTGAGCGAGAACGCCAGATGGAGTTAGATGCCCTTTTCGCCGAGTCGACCTCAGTCGCGCCACAAGGTGGGGACTCAGACAGCGAATCTGATGGGGATGAGAAGATATACAACCCGCTGAAGTTGCCTTTGGCCTGGGACGGAAAGCCAATTCCTTTCTGGCTGTACAAACTTCACGGTCTTGGTGTCGAATTTCGATGCGAGATTTGTGGAAATTATGTTTATATGGGAAGGAGAGCTTTCGACAAGCACTTCAATGAAGCTCGTCATATCTACGGCCTGAAATGCTTGGGCATCACAAATACCACGCTTTTCCGTGAAATCACGGATATTGCGGATGCTGAAAAATTATGGGAGAAGATTACGCGAGATAAAAAGAAGAACAAGACTGATGAAGGAAGTGTGGTGCAGATGGAGGACGCTGAGGGGAACGTTATGCCTGAGAAGGTTTATTATGATCTTCAAAAGCAAGGTTTGCTTTGAGCCTGCTTTACGGCTGAGGACTGTACAAAAGTATGTATTCTACCAAGTTAAGGGGAGCCTAGATATATGACTTCATTAATTGCCAAATTGGTCCGATTTCTCCCAGCTTAGGTCGTGAATTTGATTGCTTTTTGTGCCCACCAAGGGATGTATAGGTTCGTGACTGTATCCAACGTACACTAAACAGCTAGAGCCTAAAAGTATATGATTTACTGCTCTTATTTGTTAATGATTTCCTGCGTCAGAACCATCTCCGCGCGCTCGCCTAACTTTAACAAGGTTAGGTGGTCACAACCATATCTCGTCATAAACTTCTTTTTATTATTCTAGTCACTTCAGCTCATCTCCCTCCATGTATATAGGGACATGCCCTCCTTTCCTTTCCCAAAACTTTTACTTTACATCTTACCATACTCTACTTCACTTCCCAACACACTCTTCACCTTCTACCAATCTCTTCACTTTCCATTACACCCACCAATCAAAATGCAGTTCGTCAAGTCCATCATCGCACTTGCAGTGCTCTTCCTCACCTTAATCAATGGTTTTCCATTGACTACTTCTGATGTCAGTAATGAAGAAACTCCTAACGGAACTGCTACAGTTCCGATTCAGAAGTTGCCTGCGAAGGCTACTCATACCCCTATTCTTGCGTAAGTCCTGTTTTCTGTTGCTTGAGGCTATGGGTCTTTATCAATGTGGAAAGGTGTACTAAATTTTTGTAGGAAGGAGGGAGATGGGTACTGGTCGTACCACTGGCGCCCAAAGAGTCCTCGAGAGGTTGCCAAACCTACTCATGCGCCTGTCTTTGCGTAAGTATTCCATTTACCCAATATATTTTGTTATTAGAGAATATAGGATCTCGTCAATGAAGAAATATATACTGATATGTTTACAGAAAGGAGGGAGATGGGTATTGGTCATACCACCAACGCGAGAAGCATGGCCGCAGAGCCACGTAAGCAGATCCTTCCTCTATCTCGCCCTTCTCTTTTAACGATGAAACGCTGATTTCTCCACAGGAATTGGGAAGATGGAGACCAAAATAATAACCAATCGTCGGCCGAACCCACACCTACCCCCGAGTAAGCATTCCCTGGATCACCGTCTTCAGGACTTGGATCCCTTTTCAATCGAGTGGAACGTGTATACTGATTTCTTGTATAGGCCAAAAAAGACGGATCATGTTGGGGATGTTTGGGATGCACTCAATCCTATACACATTTTCTGCTTTTTTTTGAGTACGTGCGAGTAGTAATCTTACCTGGGAGTCTGGTATGTTAACCCTTTCTCTGTGCTTGTTTTTTAAAGGCTGTGTTATGTGGTGACTGGTTGTGCTAATTGGGGTATGTAGGTGGGCATGCTTGGAGATTGTGTTTGTACTGTACTTGTTTGAAGTAATTCACACTCCTGCTCATACTGGTTGAAAGTTTGCCTCTGGATAGTATTGAGGCTCTGCTCCATCTATTTTGGAATTAGCTTCGGGTTTTTGTTGCGTTGGAGTTTGCATTTCGTGGTATTGTGCATGATTATTTTGTCCTACTAAATACCCCGTCGGATTTTTCTGTTCATTCTTGTAGGGTTATATTGGGTTGAAAGGGTATTGGGTACTGAAGGTCATGGAGAATTGATTGCATTGTAAAAGGTAGCTATCTAAGGTGTTTATATAAAGAGTGTAAGGTTTAGGCAGACATGAAGCATTTAGGCAGCAGAACTATAAGTGGATCAAATAAGGAAGTGGAGCAAAAGAGAAAGTAGACCCAGCACAACAGGTTAGTATTATATAATACTACGAATACTATTACCTTGTGTTATGACTTTGCCATTGTTTTATCGTGGTGTAATAGAAAAAGTAGTTTTGTGTTTCTATCTGTAGACTGTACATTGTAAAATAGAAGAAACGATAAATTTACAGAACTTCCTTTACAATCCCATGCCAAAAGACGTGGCCAAACCCCTAATTATGACTTCCAGTTTTGAGCTGTAGGGTTTCCCTTTTCTTCTTCTTCTTTCTTCTGAAAAATTCTACATAACATTTTACAATCAAGAAGAATATTTTTGAATTAGCTTGGATGGGATTGAGCAGAGTTCTTGATATGGTGGTCGCGAATTATGAAAAGAGTCCCTACTATCATACAATAAGTGATGGTACTGTGCATGTAAGAGGTGTGTGATAGTCGAGTAAAGGAAAGCGAACGGGTCCAAACTTAATATAACATTCAGGATGTGTTTCACTAACAGAATGGAAGCATCTGAGTACTGAAGGTGCTCGTACTGTAAAAGGTGGAGCTACGAATGTGTAGCAACAAAAGCTGTATCGTCGCTACCAAAAAACCAGAAATACAGGAAAGTTAAAGGCAAGCTTTTACAACAAGCTTTTTTTGTCTCGCGTATATGGAAAACCTTGAACAAGGTGTAAATCGAGAATTCTGTATTAGCTTCTAGAACACCCTTTACTTACAATTGCGATGTCTTTCATAGGGTGCTTTTCACTTCGCGTACCCCAATCGCTTGCCAGAGTCAGTATTAAGGTTAAAAGGCCCGCAATGCTTCCATTCTTCTATTTCTATCTAACTTTTAGCTGTGATTCCTATTACACTATATCGATCCGGTTTTGTGGAACAAGCGAGAATTGTCAGCTCTAAGAAATAAAAGAATTAGTAACAATATTCCTTTGGGCAAGTGATCGTCCCCTTCTGAAGATTGTTGTGGACGGAGTACGGTGTTCCTCCGCAGTGTACAACCTTGACGACCTTACGTATTGGGCTAGAATACAATAGGGTTTGAGGGGAAAGAACCTTGCAAAAATGTCTGAGGTAAACCAGGATTATCATACCAATTATCTAGGCACAAGGTCATTAGATCACAGCCTTACATGCCGAACTGAACTGCCACTGTTGGTTTGACCTGTGTAGCGCACTTGATGCACCACTGTTCTTCACTAGTCTCTCTCGCAAATCGAGATTATACTTCTATCAGAATCTACCGTCAAAACTCGACAGGAAGTCCCAAAAGCTCGCACCAAGACCTTTGGTCTTGGCCACACTAGAGCCTCCCTGGACTGTCCTTGCCACTCCTTATTGAGATCTTGTCTGGGTACGTCAGCAATCGGAGTACGTCTCAAAGAGATGGAAAAGTGGATTTTTGAGAGGACCAACATTAAGTTAGGGCCTCATTTTGTCGCTTGCAGCATTAAATTTCCCGGATATTGTGTACTGGGGTTTGAGCTACTAGACCGAGTTTTGACGGTAGATGAAGAGAAGGCACGTAAGGACCACAAATATTCCACCGACAACCCCCTTCCCCTCTCCGACACTACTTCGTCAGCTATATCCCCGGATACCATTCACTATGACCATCTCCACTTTTCAGATGGTCCACCACGGGTTTATTACTAAAGAATTCTGCCGTTTACCCAGTTTCTCTTACTCCTCTCTTTACTCGGTTTTCTTTTGCTGAGGCTGGGAATTCAATTTTATTTTGTCTCCCTGTTCTACTCAACAATGAAGTTCTTGGGTCTATTGTTCGCTGCTGATGCTTGCGCTTCCGTTTCGGACTTGCTGGCACCAAGACAGGATCTAGGAGCAATTGGCGAAGCTACTTGCACAGAGATTGGCAAGAATCTTGCCATTGAGAATGTTACTGTCAACATTGCAGAGGTAAGCTCTAACGGTGTGGTTAATCTCTAGAGATAAAACTAACTCCAAGAAGTATCTCCCAGCGGGATCAAACATCACTCTTTCACAAGATTACAATCTCCCTACCTGCGGTTACAAATTTGTTGTTAATCCAGTGGATATGTGTCGTCTTGCGATGAGAGTTGAGACCAGCAACCAAAGTGGTGAGTTGAAATTGCTCTCTTTCTTTTGAACACTATTGACATTCAGGCTAGAAATTACCCTTGAAGCTTGGCTTCCCACAAACTGGACCGGTCGTTTCTTGAGTACTGGCAACGGAGGTTTGAGCGGCTGTATTCAATGTATGAAGACTTTCGGTGGTCGCTTATTTAATTGCTGATTTAAAGCTAGATCCTGAGCTCGCGTATACTGTAGGCTTGGGCTTTGCAACAGTTGGTAATTCATCATTATCACTCCACCTTTTCATAAGCACTCACTAACTCCGATAGGTGGTAATAATGGCCATAACGGCACATCTGGTCAGGCTTTCTATAACAATCTTGATATCGTCCATGATTTTGCGGATAGAAGCATCCATACGGGCGTGGTGGTTGGTAAAGAAATCACTGCTCAATACTACGGCTGCCCTCACAAGAAATCGTATTTTGTCGGGTGCAGTACTGGTGGTCGACAAGTTTTCAAAGCTGTTCAGTCATATCCCGAGGATTTCGATGGCGTAGTTGCTGGTGCCCCAGCGTTCTCTTTCATAGCGCTACTGGCCTGGTCCGGTCACTTCTATCCCATTTTTGGAGACCCAGGTAATAGCAAATATGTCCCAGCAGCAACTTGGACAGCCATTCATGAGGAGGTACTCAAGCAATGTGATGGAATCGACGGTGTTGTGGATGGAATTCTTGAGGATCCATCTCTGTGTAATTTCAGACCGGAAGCCATGCTCTGTTCAGGAGATAACACCAATTCAACGACATGCTTGACACCAGATCAAGCCGGTGCTGTCAGAGAAGCGTATTCCGATTACTATGGCGCCGATGGTAAACTCATTTACCCAAAAATACAGCCAGGAGGTGAACAAGTTGCGGCCCGCATGATGTATACAAATGGTCCTTTCCCGTATACCTCGGATTGGTACAAATACGTAGTTTATAGTATGTCAAATCATTTTCCTTCTACAGAACTCTCATTTAACAGCAGTCCAGGCAACCCAGACTGGGATCCCAAAACATTCTCCATCGCAGACTACGCCGCAGCTTTCGCTCAAAACCCATTCAATATCGATACCTGGGACGGCGATCTCTCTGCTTTCCAAAATCGCGGAGGCAAAGTGCTTTCCTATCACGGCGAGCAGGATGGGATCATCAGCAGTTTAAACTCGCCTCGTTACTACAACCATGTCTCGCGTACAATGGGTAAAACATCTGACGAGCTTGATGACTTTTACCGCTTGTTTCGTGTCGGAGGTATGGGGCATTGTTATGGTGGCGATGGTACAAGTTTTCTAGGTCAGCAGGGCAGTTCTTTTGCTGGCGATCTGGATCCCCAAAACAATGTCGTTATGAGGATTGTTGATTGGATTGAGAATGGAAATGCGCCAGAGACTATCACAGGAAAGAAATATGTCAACGTGAGTAGCACCCGTTCCCTGTTTTCCGAGATGAAAAGTCCAAATCAGATTACTAACTTGTTCCTGAATAAATAGGGCGTTGTAGCACAAGGTGTTGAGCTCGTTCGCAACCACTGCAAGTATCCTCTCAGAAATGTCTGCATTGACCCAGCGAATTATACCAAGGCCGAGGCATGGGCTTGTATTGTCTAAGAGCCGAGGGTATGGGTGTTTTTTTCTGGTGCGTGTACATAGCTTTGAGGACGACTTTGGGTATTTGGGTAACAAGGAATTTATGACGACTAACGATGACTTTAATAATCACCCTGCAAACATCCATGTACGGGAATTACAAGAAAAGGTACCAGGGGTTACGCACCATATTTAATGGAGAACTAGGGTTCTTAGAATCTAAACTTTTGGTGAAAACTTTCAATGTTGAGTCTCTGATATTTTGCTTCCTAGTGTGCCCTTTCGATGGGATTATGGTATATGGACAAGTATATTAGTAGAGCGGAAACTTGATCCTACGATACCATACAGTAAGCATATAAGTATTGAGAATTGTTTGACCCAAAACTTCGATGTTCAAAATGACACTCCCCTTTCTCTCTGTTGGTATAGAGATGTCTGGGATATCAAGGTAAACAAATAAGGTACAGAATATTCAATCAATTGTTGTCTTAGTGCTAAGGAGTGGTGTTGTTCGAGTACTTATGGTACCCGAACAGGCGGGTCTAGTCATGTGACGTAAACAAAAGGGGGTCGTATATTAATCCCAACACTCTCAAGTTACTGTAGGGACTTGGTAAAGGGAATGGTTACTGACTTTTGGCTTTATAAAAGAGGTACTTGCTGTCATTAGAAAATCGGAACAATACATAAACGAATCAGGGGACATAGGGATTGCCTAGGTTGCGAATGTAGTCTCAAAAAGGCACTATGCCTTTATTCTAACGCTCGTAGAAGAACAATTGTGTGAATGATTCATTTATTTAAGATACTTGGATTAGTTCAATTAACTCTACGTAGATGAGAATCCTGTATCGACTGGCGCAGGGGTATTTAAGACAAATGCCGCGTTTGATATCGCCTCCAAAACTCCAAAAAGCTCCCAAGCACGCTCCTACCTTTCCCCCAAAGCCCCTGCCATGTCAACAGGTTGTATCTCATCATCATTATCATCAGCCGTAACCCTGTAAACATACGTCCCAGGAGTCTCATTCTTCACCAACTCTCTTTTCACAGTAACCCTCCTCTCACGGCTATTCCGAACCAAGCCCTCCTCCATGCCATCCCCATGATGATCCTTTGGATGCTTAAAATCGTTCTTCAACTCCCTCCAAACAGCTTTGACATTCATGTCTTTGCCCATTTTCTTCTGCGCCGCAGTCCTCATCCTTCTCTTGATACTAGCCTGTCTCACCTCGGCAAACCACACGAAAGCCCAGTAACCTGCCGCCACTTGAGCCAGCACAAAGGTGACCCACACAAGAATGAGAATCGAGTTTCCGTGCTCGAGTTGTATTCCTAGGTTTCTGCTGAACCTGTTGACTTGCGGTGGCATGAGGCTGATGATTACTGTTATGTTTATTGCGACGATGGCTTGGAGTTGGCAAGTGAGGAGGGCTAGAATGGTCACTAATCCGACGGTTCGTCTTGAGCGTGTACGGAAGATTGCTAGGAGTGAGAAGATGGCTGTAATAATGAAGCCGATGAGAATACTGAATTGTAAGATGTCATCTAATACAGCCATGACTTTTATCAGGGTACGCATGCTATCGACTTGTTCTCCAACTGTTCCCAAAAGGGGTATGGTGACTTTGACCGTGAGAGCTTGGTATGAACTATTGATGCCGCGAGTATTGGTTGCCAATTCTGGAATATGTCAGTCGTTTTTTTGGATTGGAATTTAGAGGAGTAAACGACCCACCAGCTCCAACGTTATACCACGTTGTACAATTGGTCTTGATTAGTTCATTTGCATCTGGTGTTTCGATAACCTTGCTTTTGCATACATTTCGCAGGTGGAAACTGTAGAAATCTGCTATACCAATCGCTTCTTTTATTCCGCCAATAATTTGTGCTACGATAATATTCAAGTCTACGTTGTTAAGAATGGCTGAGACGAGTACGTTTCCAACTGCTGTGAGAACCCCATTGACAATATCATCTGCGAAAGTAGCACTCGTGGTTCCGTTGGCCGGTCCAGGGGTCGGAGGAAGATTGGTAGGGTTCGATGGACGGCGGGGTGTTGGAGTTGGGGTTGACCGCGCTGGTGGAATCGAGGTCCTTTGAGGAGCTGGAGATACCCGCGGAAATGGTTCTAGGGATACGGTAAATGGAGGAGAGGCACGAGTGGTCGAGACTGTAGGGAGGCGCGATGGAGTGATTTCAGGTTGCGGTCTAAAAAACGGCGGATCCGATGGTGGTGCTCTGGTATGTAGTGGCGGAAATGGTTCAAAATTTACATGGTCAAATATTTGCAAGTTTTCTTGAGGTTGTGACAATAAGGCTGCAGATTCCTGAGGTAATGCGTTGGGTGTGAATATAACCAGGCCTTCGCCCAGGTTGGTGGTATTCAACTATGGATTGTCAGCCTATATGTAGCTATATGTGTCCTATAAGAAAGGACAGTGCCCACGTTAAGGATCCAAAAATCCTGCAGAAAACCGGATGAAGTTCCCGATATGATCGCTATCAATTGAAGTGCAAACGCACCAGCTGAAAAGACTGTAGGAATAATAGCTCCTAACCTCAGTGTTATACCAGCTCGCTTAGGGGCTGGCAAGTCGTCAGACATGATAAATACAGAAAAGAATGTATGAAAGAAAACCCTGCTGCTGAAGAATGGAACAAAAAAGGAAAATCCAAACTCTCTTCAAGTACAAAACTTGCGTGGAAGAGAACACTTTTGTTGAAAAAGCTCGCCTATCTGAATCATGTGGCAAGACTAAGTTCGTCCAGGGCATAATTATACCACGCTCTCGAAACCACTTAGGATGACCTTTGCCAGCTGAGATCAGACGAAGATTGAGATCATGATACTCCTGTGCAGGAATTGCCCCTGCTTCCACCCGCTAACCGAGTTCCAATTTGAAACAAGGGTCAGGAGCGAAAGAGGTCGTTGCGAGAGAAGACACTTCTAGATCTCTGCTCCGAATACTTCGGAGTAGAAAAAGAAAGCCCGCGAACTATGGAGCTTTCTATGGAAGCTTGTTCGCATCCAAAAAAATAACAACAACAACCTTGTCAGTTGACCTACATCTTTTGTGGTATATCACGTGACTCACTCGGAAGAAGACCAGCCACCTGGAAAGACAGTGAATGTCTTCTTGAAATGGGGGTTTGAAAACGGGTTTAGGGACCTCTCTTCTTCTCCTCCTCCCAACCATTCCTTGCAGAATTCGTCAATCACCAACCTCACAGGACCTAGTGAAAGGGATTAGGCTTATAGCAACCCCTAAACAAGAACCAGAACTCAAATACCGAACCCATTAGCGAGATAAAACATACGAACATACGCCAAGGATTGTTTACAGCTTCCACTAAAATTAGGTCTTTTCGCTTAATTCATTTTTGGTAGTCTTAATTAGCTGTTCAAAAGTGCTTTATGAGTTGTTTTCTCTCCACAGCCAAAAGACTCTTTCTGTTTCATTGAGTCATGAACCGAGCGCATTGACCAGACTTAATCCCAGACATGGCTCAACCCAAAGCTGCTATATACTAGTACATGGGCAAAACAGCTCAGTTGCGAGAAAAATATGAGAATATACAGCAGAAGCTAATTGATCTGACCCGAGACATCTAGAATGCTTCTAAGTGTTTTTAATATAAGCTGTGACTAAGCAAGTGTGATTGACGAAATGGGCCGGGTTTCCCGCTCAGCGTTCGGCAACTGGAATTCCATAACTCCATGGAATTCCAGAGCCCATTCAATGGAAATAAGTGTTCCATTTATAAGGAGGTCTGGAAATATTCCATATGGAATGGAATCATGGAATCTATGGAATCGAGTGCCATTTGCCGAACGCTGTTCCCGCTACTGGCAGAGCTCATGAGAACAAGATTATCACTAAGGGGGTATAAGAATCATCAGCTGCCCCAGTGATAATCTTGTGTTTAAAGATACCTCTTACACATAGGTAAAAATTACAGGAAAAACCACGTTTTTTACAGTCTTTCCTCTAGTATTATTCTCTAAGCGAAGCTATGAGGGGAGTTGGATGAGGGTTTTCACAAATACTGTCACGATCGTCAAGAAAGATTAAAGACTATCAAGTCCATTGCGATATGAATTGTAACTCAAGGCCCCCAAATGAAAGCTAATTCCTCACTCCAATTACCCCTGCCACCATGTAAAGCTCATGCAGCATCCTCCCCTTCTACGTGAACTGAGGCAGGTAAATCCAGTATCTGTGAAAACAACGAGAGAGAAAAAACCGAAGAAAGTGACATTACACTCAGCGTAATGCATGTTGATCTGTTATATGGTGGGTGAGAGGTATTGGCGAATATGGTGTGGGGAGGTGTGGAGATAACTACTCTGGTGACACTTTTGTTGAAGACACTGAGTTGGCAATTGAGTGAGGTCGGGTAGCACTCATATATCGTAGCCAATATTATCCATTTCCTCATCCTCAGACATATAAGTGACGTCCTTACCCTCCTCCGCAGCTTTCTTGTTCTCTTCCTCGCAAACAGCACAACCGCAACCACCCTTGAACCACTTTTCAAGGTGAATGCGACAAGCTTTTCTCTCCTTCGTGGACTTTCCAATACCAGCTTCCCCCAGGTAGCTGATATAAAGTTCCTCGCCTGTCTTGATATCGCGCCCGGCGAAGCATCTTACTGCGTTACTTCCAGGTCGCAAAAGCTCGCCATCCATGCCCTCGATGCTGTAAATACTATCATTACACTCTGTACTAGAGTTCCAAATGACGTTAAATAAACAAGAATGGTTGAAGAAGAGATAGCTCGGGTTAACATTGACAGTATTGAGAGCTATATCAATATTTTGCTTCTTAGCTTGCTCAATAAGATTCGTATCTTCGGGGGGATACACGCTGGAAACTCCCATATTAGCATTATTGTCCAAACGCCACGTCAAGGTTTGGATGACTTCAGGATCCCAGTCTCTGGATTTGAATATATCGACTCCTAACTGGAGAAGGAACTTTGTCGGATTCACAACACACTCTTTGAACAGCCAGTTGTTGGAAGCCTTTTTCTCATGTGGTCCATCAAGAGTATAGTTTGCGACTAATCTGGCAGCCAAGCTGTGCTGCAGAGGGTGGGTACCTCCTGTCTTGTCCGCGAGGATTACTGCAATTGTTCGTGCAACTAGAATAGATCGTGGGAAATAGCCGTCATCTTGTTTTTCCGGATTTGAGATAAGTTTGGCATCCCTGTACAAGTAGTCAATATTTCTTCTACACAACAGAGAATGCATTCCTGCCGCAGCATCTCTGCAAGCCAAGCTGCAGTATGCCACCGCTTTGCAGCAGTTCTTAGGATAGATTTTGTCGGTAGGATTGAAATATGGGTGTACTAGGAAGGCCTGGCAAGCATCACACTGGTGTCTCTTGTGGGGCTTTACGTTTGATGCACCTAGCAAGGTAGGATCCACCAATATCATTTCACCTTTGGTGATATCTTTTGTAGCGAAGACTCCTAGAGCGCCAATATCCATACCTTCCGGTATCTGCTCGGTGATGTGTTTCTCTTTCGGATCTGTGCTAAAGACTACGCGTCTTACTTCACAGCTGCCCGAACTCAAACTCAGACTCTTATTAACCTGGCGCAACATCTCTGGAGTTCGATAAAATAATCTTTCGTCCATCCAAGGATACTTAATTATATAGATGGATCCTCGCTTAGCGTACGCTGCCTGTTCTCCTTTGTCCATGCCGCCTTTTGCGAATATTTCGCACCGCTCTAAAAATTCTCCTTTCAAATCCTGTACAAAGCCTTTAATGACTTGGTCTTGTGGATAGAGTTTTAGAGCTTTTCTGGCTTCCAAATATCCCTCCCAGAATGCACCACAGTGCATAAGTCCATAAAGAAGTTCTCGGTAGGCGTAGGAACGGATGTCGTGGAGCTCATGGTCAATCTGAAGGATGGAGTTTGTCCAGTGCTTGGAACTCATGAAATTTAGGACTTCTGTGCGTAAATATGGAAGACCAGGATAACTTGTGGCGGAACAAGACAAGGCACACTCTGTAAGCAAGATGGCCTTATAGGCGTTGGCTGTACCAACATCTGTGAAACCCAGCTGATTGTAAACAGCCGCGAGGTCTGCGTAGAACCTTGGATTATATGGAAATACATCGAGGTGTTGTATAAGAGATTGTCGAAGGGCAAGAGTTTCTTCTACTTGACACTGATTTTAGTTAGTAATGTTTCACAAAAAGATAAGAATAAGATCCTAGTATACTTCTTGTTGAAGCTTTCTAGCACACTTGCTTGTGCCGAGCCATTGCTCCCTTAACAGAGCTTTTGCTTCCTCCTCACTCAACTTGGTCTCTGCAAATTCACTTGTATCAACTGCATCACCCGCATCAGCCCCATCAGCCCCATCAGCCCCATCAGCCCCATCAGCCCCACCGGTCGCATCGGTCCCATCAGTCGCATCCATCATGACAGTATCAATTTCCTCAGAAATCATGGCGGAGTTGGTTTCAGTAACAACAATTGACTCTGCCTCTAAGGTCTGAAGGGAATTCTCTTCATATTCATTACTTTCTCCCGGCGTATGATGATTAATATCCCCAGTCTGTGTGCCCGCATTTCTGACAGAGGATACCAAGTCTTCTGTCTGGGTAGATGCATCTCTGTATGAAGGTCTATTATCGCTGAAACAGATTGGTGATAGAAGATCTGGCCTCTTGGTGCTCGTACTCTCTTTCTCATCTTTCTCGTCATCTTTCTTATTATCAAAGAGACTCGCAAATCCTTTGGCAAGTTTCTTTTTCGTGAAGCCTTGTGCGTATAAAGCAGGCGGTGGAGGTGGAGTGATGGGAGCCATCATCGGAAGAGTCATGGCTTGTGGTTCTTTCTTTGGTTGCGGTGTTGGGTTCTTACTGTAGGGGTTCAAGAGGAAAGTATCCGTTTGTCTCTATGACAGAATTTGTTCGGAGATTAAAGGGAACGCTAGGTTTTACTGTAAGATTAGCTTGCTTGCTTATTTGTTTGTTTTTATGTTCTGTGGAGTGCAAACAAAGAATGATTGGTTCATGGAAGTATGAGTGAAGCAACATATTGCTTGCAAAAACTGGGGATAACAAGCAATCCCTTGAGGCGGCGAGGGATTGTGCTTGTCCTTCACTATCCAAGAGTTGCTTACCTTTGGCTTTGACTTTAGCTCTGAATTGTCCTTTAGGTATGAGAAGATTATGTAAATCATCCACTTCAAAATAAAGCATTAGTAAACGCATGCATGCTTTGTTCCGCAACCCTGCATAGGAGACCAACCACCTGAAATCTGCTGTCTCGTAATCCCGCAAAATGCGATGATACTATGGAATCCAAGTTAGAAATAATAAAAGACAAGAAGATGATTATTTTGAGGAGCGTCAGGATGAAGGATAATTGAAAGCATGCTGCTAGCGCTGGAGCAGATCTGTACTGCATGACCTGTGCTTGGCTCTAGGTTGATGGTGAAATCAAGTTATTTTTGAATGATGGAATGAAGATCGGAAGTGATGGAGAGGAGGAGAGGAGGGTGAACATACAACCAGACTATTCAGTAGAGAGACTCAGTTGGTGAAGAATAAGAATAAATATTGAATATTGGCTGAAGGGTTGATCATCTTAACATGATGGTAATAAAGATAGAAGTGATAATGACAGATTATGGAATTAGGCCCAAAGGGTTGCCTTGATGCTGGGTGTTGGTGTTGGTGTTAAAGTGATGGTGTGGTTGTTGTTGAGGCGATGATGTGGTTGTTTTTGAGAGAGGATTGAAGAGGACTGGGAGGAGTCCTTAAATAGACAGGCGTACTGGCGGCTATTGAATAGCGATCTCGGAGGGCTAGTGCGGATGTTGAAAAACATTCGAATTATGGTGTTGTAGAGGTACGAAGTTCAGACAGAGTTCAGACGAAAGTTCGCTTAGCGGGAGACGGGAGTGGTACCCCTGAATGACAGTATAAGTACAGTAAAATGCGTATTCCCACATTCAAATACACGGAATTGAGCTGAAGGCCGTCTCGCTAGCGAACAAAAATTACCCCTGATGACAGCAAGAGATAGTTCGAGGATAAGAAAAGACAATAACTATAACCTTGAATTATTTGCGCAATAAACCGAGGAGACTCGAGTCCAAGCAGGTTTCTGTGCACAAGGACCTTTAAAACAAGAAAAAAACAAGACGCAAAATTTCGAGTCGAGCATATTAATGTCGAGCCGTTCGAGTCCACTGAGGGAATGGCTATTGGCCTAGAGTTACATTGTCAATGTGTGCTCTGACAAAGAAGAAAACCTGATACTGTACGTACTCGTAGAACACGAATCTCTTTTGGCTATATATCTGTCCCTAAACAAAACTTCTGTCAGATTAACCAGCCAGGAAAATGCGAAGGAACCACCATCGATAAACGTTCTGCTGCCGAAAGTTGTAACAACTCACTCAGCAAACCAAGAAATCCACACTTGAACCCGCGAGGCAAATTGCCTACCAGGAGAAGCAAAAGGAAAGGTATTTATATATCAATTTTAAGAACCCAAACTTTCCATTCTCCATACAACAGCTTAGATCCAATGTCCCTAGAGGCTGCCAGGTTGTGGATGCCAATCTTTGCTTTGCTCTCAAGAAAACCCCGGCGATTTGTTTAAGAGAAAATAGCCTGGATACATGCATAATAATTCTCGAAAGGAGTTCAGGAGAGATGACTGACTGAAGAACCGGGAAAATGTCACGGATCTCTACAAGCCCAATTCCACCCAAGCATTGCATCATCCAATTGAAAGATTGTGCGCTTTAGCAAAAGTATCTTCTGGACTCAAATTATCCATGATTCAAGCCCAGAAGAAAGGTAGGTTGTAAAGATGTGAAGAAGAATGATATGGTAAAGTTTCGCCGCAAAGAATGCCCACCAAGGTGCCAATAAGGGACAGGGAGGTCAAGAACCCCACCCAAAGAAGGCGATTTGTGACGGCAGCGCGTCAATAAAAACAAAAACCTCAAATGCAAACGATATGCAAACAGTAGAGCAAAAATATCAAGCAACAAACCCGCATTGACAGTGGATTAAAGCTATAACTTCCAAACTGCAAACTCTCTCCATAAAATCAAGTGCGAATTTGACAGCAAAACAAGAAACGACGGTAGCTCAACTGTTCCTTCTGATGTTCTTACTTTGAACTGGCTTCAGGTTCACACCTGGCAAGAGAAATAAAATCAAAAGGTGAGGACATGTTCGCGGAATTGGAATTTGGGAGACTTACAAGATGGCCTATGGACGATTGCCTTGAAGATAGTGTGGTTGGAAGTCTCTCCATATTTGCTCTTTTTGTTTCAAATGAGAGTCTGGAAGAGAAGCCTAACATTCTTTGGACGTTGTTGCAGAATATGAATCCATTAAGGACGATTAGCCACGGTAGGTATACTTTGCAAGTATCGCAAGATGAGGAGATGCGGCGTGAATCTATTTTTGCAAAAGAAAGTCCTTCAAGGTTCATGCCTTGCAGACTGGGCAGGTTAAATTCACCTGCGAAATCAAGTAGCAGGAGCGAGAGAGTAGTTGTAACGTAAGTGTAATAGGACAACGTAAGTACAATAGGAAAGAGGGATTGAAAGTGACTCATGCCGACTTCCTACGGAGGTACACCTTTGAACTTCCGCATGGTGAATACAGGTGGTTTTCCCCTCTAGGACAACAATATCTTGTTCTAAGGACTTAATGAATATGGGAAGAAAGGGTGAATTTTCTGACAGGCATGGGTACTTTCGATTCAGTTTCATGGCAAGAGGAGAGTGAACTTTTGGGTAAGGAGATAGGTGAAACTGAAAAGTCTATGATGCAATTGTCCAGCTTCAACTCTTCTAGACTTCAGAACTGCGAAAATTCCTTGCCATTACCAGGGTACTCAACAGAAGAAATTCCATGGTACTCGTCTGTTTCCAATAAGTCTACCTCGTATGTTATCAAGTGCACGACAACCCGGCGATCACGCCTTCCTTCCAATACCTGGTTCAACACTTCAACACACAATTGACCGGCGAAACTTTCCATCCTCCCTCCTTCCATCCCCAAGTCTTAGCACTTCACCCCCACGTCCCCTGCATTCCTGCATTCACGTTCTTCTTTCCCATCCTCCCCAACTTCCCTTACACTCTCCTCAACCCTCTCCTTCTCAAGCTCATCCCCAAAATGCACTTTCACACACACCACATCCTCCTTCCTCAAATTCCTCGTCGTATTAAAAATACTCTTATGTAGTTTCGATTTCTCTCCGTTCCACACCATATTCGTCGATAGCGGCCGCAAAGGAATGGTGATCATCTTCCCCTCGCTGTGCGAGTTTTTGGCATGCCATTTTTCGATTTCTTGTTGGAGATGAGGAAAGCGGGATGCTGAGTCCATTTTTCTTGATTTGTTAGGAGTGCGCTTTGTTCGTGGGTATTTGGGTTCGTCTTTTGTAGATGGAAATTGAAGTATTATTGTATTTGGGAGGTGTTTATTTTGGGCGAAACACTCTGTTTTGGAAGGTGGAAATGTTTAGCCTGCGTACCTAGGTATTTGATTGTGCCATCATCGCATCACTCAGCGCAAGAGTCTTGATGACGGACTAGATTAAAATATTCTCGTCATTGAGTAAGTAAGTAGGGTCTCAAGGAGGGTAACGCCGCGTCTAGACGGCGGGAAAGTGCGCTTTGTTGGGATATTCCGAAAATGGTGTACAATAGCGTTCTGGAAGGGTGCCACTAAGACACGCCAACACAGTTTCTTTTAAAAGCCGCTCAGCCGCACTGTTTTGGTACTTGGTGTAGAGGTTTTACAGGAAGTGAGGTTATTGATAGATGCGACGAACGAGCGAACAATTAACTGAGTAGGGAGTACCAACATGCATATTGGGTGAGCAAAGTCCTCATTGACGAGAAATAAATCCGACGCAGAGTTACGAATTGAAGGGACCGTTTTCTTCGGCACCTTTTTCTTTCGCAGATTCAGCTGTGCGTACTTGCGTCGGCTGAGGCCTCGTTTGATGTAATGACGAGAGTACTAAGGAAGACATGAGCGATACGAATGACATCAAGTCTTCTTACCTGACAACTCAACTTAGAGAGATTCGTTTGCTAGATGAATAAGAAAGTTACCTAGGTACGAACTAACTACCCTCAAGAGCACCATCCACTCATAAAACAAGGGAAAAGTCGTATGGAATTTCCTGATAGTGATAGCTGGTAAGCAGTGTTTATATACTCCCAACAGGAGAAAACCAGCACTGCTGATAAACTAGATGGTGATTAGGTAGGTTTGCGATGTGCAGCAAGATGGAATTGAGTGTGAGAGATAAGTTCTATTCCGTGGAGTGCGGACTTCTCACAAATTGCGCGTTTTGGGAATGTAAGAAGCCAGCACGAATGTTGTGGTTTGGGAAATGAGGGCATTCAGACATCTTGAGAAATTCTGTGTCCATATTTTTGCGACATGCAACAAACCTGAGAACTTCAACGCTAAGGTTATCCTTTACTTATTTCGGCATAATGTAGTACATATCGCGCCAACTAAGTTAGGTAGCGAACTAGGTAGCAAAGGTAGCGTTGATTCGACCGGAAGAAACTAAATTTACACTAGGTACCGTACCTAAGTACTGATTCTGCCCCTGAATCAGGAATTTGCGATGTGCAGCAGAATAAATTGGGCGAGGGAAAGGATAAGTGAAACTTGTAAGTAAAGTACTGTTGCATATCGTACGCTATTGAGTATACTTACACGCTCTTTGGAGCCAAGGTAATCATCGATAGTGCTAGTAAAGCTGATTACAAGCTGGTTTTATTAAGTGGCTTCCAGGTGTTTCATAGAATGGGATGTGCATTAAAGTTCGCTGTACAGGCTCATACAAAGTAAGCGACACTGAAGTAGAGTTTGGTCTTTGACACAGCTTTGTGCCCCAATTCCCTGTGAAGTGACCCTCTGGGAAAAAGATTCCAGGGCATCAAGTAAGCAATAGAGCTGCTAAGTGACAATAGAGGGAAATGAATGGTTGTGCTATTATTCAGGCGACAAGTTCAGTTTCCATTCATAATAATCATGCCTTAATCTTCTTCTTCTTATCCTTTTTCTTCTCGCTCGGTCCAGCACTGGGACCCGCACCTCCCATTCCACCCATTCCTCCCATCATACCCTGCAGAGCCGCCATATCTGGCATTCCTGGAGGCATACCGCCGCCGCCTGGCATCCCTCCAACACTCTGCATCTCAGCCATCATATCTTTGAAGAAGTTGTCGCTGATACCACCTCCTGATAGTGCAGGACTATAATATGGTAGGATATCGCCCATTATTCGACCTTTTGGAATCGCAGGTTTTGGATAGGGCTTCTTCGCATCCGGTACTGGGACGCCTGGGACACGTACGCGGATTGCAGCTGCTTCAGTGGTGGGATTTGCTTTGAGGTATTGGGAAATTAGGATATAGAGGTGGTGTTCTATTTCGTGATGATTAGCCTTCAATTTCAGATCAATTCCTCCCAGGATCTCGCCTGGAACTTTCCTGCCCAGTTACACAATCAAACATCCATGGCCTGTCTGTATATGAATCAAAGAAAGAACAAACATACTATTCTTAACACTCTTATTATTTCCTCCCTTAACCTTTACTTTCACTCTCCCTGGATTCGCCCAATCCTTGGGATGTATCTTCGCCGGCTCAAAAAGCGTCTCTAGTCCCAATCGTCCAACAGCAGTAACAATATCCCTCGCCATCGGATTCTTAACCGCCAACTCTTTCCCCACCATTCTGCCCTCCTTCCGACTTCTCATCGCATCGAAATACACTGGGTATATACATGCAAAGTCCTTGTACTTCGCCTCATCCACGGTAGTCTGGAACTGGGTGCCATCTGAGGCGATAGTAGTGGTTCGCGAGGGGATGTTAGAGGGATTGATAAGTGATTGGGCGGCTTGGGAGGGTGATGGCTTTGGTTTGCTTGCTGCGGGCTCGCGACGCTTGAGGATGTCGCGTTCGTCGAAGTCGGAGTCTAGATCGTCGATGTCTTCTTCTGGGGGGTCGGAGTCGAGGTCGCTATCGCTGACTTCTTCTATGCGTGCGTGCGACATGGTGGTTGTATGGATGGAGGTTGAGAGCTGTCTCTAGTTTTGGCGGGGTTCGTGGGGAAGGAATCGGAGGAAGATCGGCCCGGACAAGGGATCCGAGAAACGTGATCGAAGTTGAATATGTGATTTTGATTTAATTTGTAGTGGTTGGAGATAAACAGTAAACAGTAGATTGTTGTTCCTTTCGAACACAATATGGATGGGTGTTCTCTAATAGAAAAGTGTATCGGTCAAAATTGAAGGGCTTGCCTAAGTACAACAAGCTGTGCAATCGCAATCGCAATCAAGATTTAAACAACAGTCGCAACAACATGTATCTAATTGACACCCCATACAAACATTTACTAGGAAAAAGGCTCGAAATTGGATTTTGAGTTCCTCCCACAAACCCGTGATTCAAGATATTGTACACGAGATATTTTCGGGAGAGTAATTGATCAATGAGTGACAAGTCGCTAAACAACAACAGAGATCTGAGAGAACGGAAAATGGAGTGGATATATAGGAAACAAAGTAGGCAACCTAGCAGTGAGGTCAAAGACAATGATCTATTTAAATTTAGCAGGGTTCCGGGCAGTGCTCTAAGACTCGAAGCTCGTATTGAAGATGCTGTGCTCCAATCTACCTGATAAAAGATTCGCCCATCCGTAGGATCAGCAAACGAGATATGCTTGAAGCAGGGTGAATTGGTCCCAAACAACGAATCGCACACCGGCCGCCACCTAAATTGAAACACCATCCTGTGAACATGGCACATTTGTATTCAATATATCAAAACAAAAACAAAAGATTCGCTTCGCATGAATATCATTATAAAACCCCCAAATCAGCCTTCCCTAATCCTACCAGCCCTTGATATCATAAACTCCTAAAATTATTCCCGATTTTGAATCCTCCTAGCCCAATCATCGCCAACTCTTACACCCTCAACAACCACAACACCTCTTCCCCGTCCAACTCTCTCTTCCTTTTCCCACCAGTGCTCTTTCTTTGGCGCTTGCTCGGCTTCGGACTCACTGTCAGCTAAACCGCCGTGCCCACCCTCAGCACCCACGACAAGAATAACATCTTGACGTAACCAACTTTGAAGATGGGTGATAATTTCGCCATCTTTCCCAGCAAGGGATTCTTGCAAATATACAATCTCCGGTCCTAGGTGTCGTAGAATATGCACATGCCCGGTAGGAGTAGTAAATGGAAGGACCATTGTTTCCTTCTCAACTAAGCCGAGGGCTTGCGTGTAAACCGCGTTGAAGTGTGCGGATCCAGATTGAGTAGACCTAAAAGTGTGAGAAATGGTCAAGGAAATTCTATAGATATTACTTACGGTAATTTCTCTGCTTCTGTAGTTGGTGATTGCGTTTGTTCGTGTTCGATGTTTGAAAATGAAGAACTGAGAGACCCTTGAGCCTTTTGAGCAGCATCCAACGGATGCTCCTTTAAACCAGGCGCGTAAATAAGGACAAATAGTCTTATGGCAGAAATATCCGTGTTCGAAGGTAAATGAGAAAGAATAGACTAAAAAGTTTTTAGTGACGGTGTCAATAGAATGTGTAGAGTTGCGCCTACTGCATGTTGATGATATCCATCATCATCCTCCATGTCCGCCATGGCATCTTCGGCAGACACAACAACGGCAACTGTCCTTCTCTTGGTACTTGGGGAGGATCGTGGTGTTGCTTCAGGGAGTTTTTCTGTAGAACGCATATCGATTGGACCTGGTGCTGGTGCCGGATCAACACCAGCACGTCTCAACAAAGCTTCTTCTGACCATGTCTGATGATCTCGATACGCGGATTTATCCTCTTCTCTGATTGAAGATAGAGCACTTCCCACAACAGCTCCCGCAGCAGCTACTCCTCCAACCACCGTCCTACTCACGCCATCGAAGACCTGTTGTGGACTAGGGGTCCTTCTCAAAGCTCCAGACATGCGCGCCATATAACTTTGCGACTCGTCTGGTCGCTGCTCAATTGTGCCAAACCCCACCTCTCCTGAGCGCACGCCATCTCGGTATGAGGGGGGACCTGTGGGAAAGCTTCTCTCTATGTTCCTGCCATAGTTCTCCTGGTATGGATCAGGTCCAATCTCCGGTCTGGGTTCCTCGTCTTCATCATCATCGTTCCTCTCACTCCATATCCAGGCCACGATTCCAACTGTTGCGACTGTAACTGTCACGGCCAAAGGAATCCAGTATGAATACGTGCCTCGACGCGTTGCCGCGGAGCTTCGGCCTCTGCGCTCGTATGAAAATGACATTGGGGCGGTCTTGACAGCTTAGCGGCGCATCGTACGGTTTTCTCCAGCCCTCCGGCACAATCGTATGGTGATGATACAGAGTATTGGAAGTGACGGTGGTGTTGGCGCATAGATGTCGCAAATGTGGTGGTGAGAAATTGCGAGGCTGGCAACCAGCTCTCTCCATGCATATGGAGCATGGAGCTAGCTGACTCCCTCTGCGTTGTTGACATGGGAGCTCGGGGGGCCTTCCATTTGCCGCTATTGGCCCGGTGGGTGGAGAGATGAGCCGAGGTCCACACGTGATTGCGCTTTTCTGGCTGGACTTGGATGACTAAGCAGGATGACTAAGCACCTATACCTTTTCTTTTGAGAGCCTTCTTGGATCCATCACCACTTCTTTGGACGCATCATATTCTGATATCATCTCGACACCCCTCGTCATCTCCACCTCAGCCTTCGTCCGAGCTGCTGCAAAACATCCCGATACTCCAGACTCTGAACCCGTCGATCAGACTGCGGAAATCCTGTCTTAGATAGCTGACCATCATATCGGCGTCGCTTCATTATTGGGTGGGATAGATATTGAGATTGGGAATCGCGAATCCCGAGGAAAAAAGACAATAGAAGGCGCCGGTGCCCCGTTTGTTTGGAACAATGCCTCACGCTCTACCGATGCCGTCGCCAGGACTACAGGCCATTATTCTCTGTGGTCCCGGTTCATCTTTCCCAACCTTTACAGCCAACCCGGATCAAAATCCCAAGGCTCTCATACCAATAGCTAATCGGCCCATGGTGTGGTATCCCATAGATTTCTGTTATAGAATGGGTGTCACTAGTAAGTACTGTGATTTCCCCGCAGTCTGGCTTGAGTTTTGTCTTGTTATTTCTCATTTCATTGTACCACATTTGGCACTGAGCTATGAGTCACATGATGGATTTTTGCATTCAGCACTCATATAACTATGAAATTGATATCATGGTTGTTTATAAAACACACCTGATTGTAATTACAAATTTACAATCTACATCTACATCCGTTTTGTCTTTTAATTTTGCAAAAGATATTGTGTTTGGTTTTATGGGTATTATTCTGACGTTTTCCCAGGTGTCACTCTCATCGCTCCACCTTCATCTGCACCTGCAATTGCAGCCGCATTGAATACCAATCCTCATTTGACAAGTGTCGCCCCACCAAAGGCACCAAAACCAGATTTACTTGTTCCACAAGACCTTGATCAGAACACCGGGACAGCTGAAATCTTTCGGTTACTAGAAGTTCGTGCAGTAGTCAGAGGAGATTTTGTCGTATTACCATGCGATTTGGTATGTGAGCTAGGTGGTGAAACTCTACTTGCAGCATGGATGGGAAAGGAGGCTGTTTTTGGAGCTGCTACTGATAGCCAGACCGCTAATGGTACGCGAAGAGGAGGCTTAGGTGTATGGTATGAGACAAAGGGCGAGACAAAAATTAAAGGGGAAGAGACAGATTTTATCGCTACATCACCACTTCAACCTGGTCCATTACCGCCTTCAAGGTCATCGCTCATGTCGCACGTTTCAAAATTGGTATACTCGGTGCCAACAGATACTTTGGACGACATCACAGAAGCGAAGAAGAGTCTTCCTGTTCGTCACGCATTAATCCGGACACACCCTCGACTGAGAATGCTAAGCTCCCATCGAGATGCTCATATTTACGTTTTTCCTGCTTGGGTTGTAGACATGATCAACAGCAATGAACAAATGGATAGCATTGGAGAAGATGTAATTGGTTGGTGGGCAAAGTCAGAATGGCAAGATGGCCTCGCAGAGAAGCTGGGCCTTCAGGAAGTGTTTGGAAGTCCACAAAAAGTTGATGGCGACGACAATTTACTTGATAATGCTCCACAACATGATATTGACTCAGGAAGCCTGAGCACAACCTGGACGTCAAGTCTCCAAAAGTCTCTGTTGGATGAAACGGAAAGCGCTAAGTCAAAACTAGTTGTCCCTCCAATTTTAGCATATATCCACCCGAAAGCAAACGAAGGCGCTCAGTCACCATTGATAAGACGGGTTGATACGGCGCCATTGTTGTTGGCAATATCTCTTCAAATTGCCAAATTGGAGGCGATTGATACTGTTGGTCGCGATGCTTCTTCGCCATTCGCTCATCAGAGCAAAGTGGCTTACCCGGAGGGAATCGCTCAACGTACTACTGTCACCAAACCAGATAGTCTCCTTGCAGAGAATGTCACGGTTGAGGAAAAGTGTTCGATCAAGGAATGTGTTATTGGCGCGAATTGCCAGATTAAACAGGGGGCTAAACTAACAAGATGTCTACTGATGGATGGTGTCGTGGTTGGCAGGGGTTGTAAGCTAACAGGATGTATCTTGGGAAGAAGAAGTGATATTGGCGAGGACTCGGTGTTGTTGGATTGTGAGGTCCAAGAAAACCTTCTGGTGGAACCTGGAAGTAAGTTATCTACTTCGGCTTTCCCGCATAGTGCTGACATTATTTTCAACTACAGCGGAGGATAAAAATAACAAAATCATGAGTTCAGAGGGCATGGAAGCGACAGAACAAGAAATCCAAGATTTTGCAGACGATTCAGCTATGGACGACGGAGAAGGGATCCCATTAGAAGTCTGAATATCGAAAATCCCCAGCTCCAGCACGTACAATGAAGGGGTTTCTTGCGAACAATATTGGTTGCTATGCCTAATTCGCACCAGATCACGGCGCTTGTTGTGGAATGGGCACGGCATTTCGCGTAACACGAAATCGACTCTCCCAACATATAGTCTATTCTGGGCAGCATTCGTCTCGCTCCATCCAAAAATTGAGATTCGAATTAAGACGCCAATTATACCGAGAACTCGGCAGTTCCATGCAGCTGATGTTGCAGCGCCATATATGATGCCTATGACAGGCTTCCAGAAGGTCATTGATGCGCAAGTAGACGACTTTTGTTCAACGTGAGGGATCATTATCTTCGCCCCCCTCCAACCCTTCCTAGCATGCTCTGGGAGCATGATTTGTGGATAATTTAGGTTAGGTCGATCCCCAGGCAGCTCCCAACACTCTTCAACCATTTAGCGGGAAGGCAGAAGAAGTATTTCCAAATATTTCATCAACAAATGCAATGCAAGATCGTCACAGTCCCATGCCGCTATTTCCTGTCGATACCGTGCGATATTTCTTTCTTAGAGCCACTGCATGTACTTCTCGAAACTGCCTCCCTTCCCTTGACTATCAGCCACCGCTCCATAAGCCGAGTGATATGCCATTGTTTCTTGCCCTGCAGAATCCTTTCTTTCTTTCTTGCTAATTCTTTCCCCATCATTTGCGTATCAAGGATACCAGATTGGCTCCCATGCAAAATGTGCGTAGGTATTCGTAGTTTGTGTGCAGTAGTCAGCGAAAAAAAACCAACATAGGTACATATGTATGTATGCATCATTCTAGGATTCCGTCCCGCTTCCAATTGTTTATTCATATACTATATATCCAGCTTGGCGAGTACGCAGGTGAAGGTGCGTGTGCGAATGCGCAGTAAGCATGCACATGTTTAGTGCGTCTCCCGAGCCTCGTCTCCCAGCTTTTGCCGAATGTGGACACCTATCTCTTGAATGGCAACACAGCAAAGTGAGGAATCACCTGGGTACTTTCCTTTGTGTGGTGCCAAGGTACGGCTTACGGAGGTTCTACGTATGCTGCTCAGCTCAAATGCCGTGGGCCGTCCCCGTCGCATCAAGAAAACAAAACGGGGGGCTGGAACGGAGGTTGATCCGCCCCTGCGAGTTGTAGGGTGGAGGAACACCACCAGTTATGTACCGGAAGGGAGCAGGTGTTCATTTTTTTACCCCTCTTCCCCGCATTATCTTGTGGAGGTAGGCGTTGACTTGTACAAGCCTTTTGTTAAAGGGCTTTTCTGCTTATTGTTTCGTTTTTGTGAAGAGAATTTTGGGAGAATTCTTGCTTTGTTTCATAGGCAAAAGCAGTTTCAAAGGGAAAGCAATGGCTGATGCTGTGATTCTTTTCTCCCAAGGCCCTCCGCTGTGTGGTTAGAACTGGTCGTAAAATACAACGGGCTGGGTTGTGTTAGTGGGAAAGTTTATTTTGACCCTTTTTACAGAATGTAGAGAGATATTTGTGGTAGGATATAGCTCATTATGATGGTTGTTGGAAGATTACTGCTTCTCGGCAATCAGAGCCTATATCTCCCCCGTACCATGGTAGAGGGAAAGCTGGACATGTGGAAGGCGTGGGAAAAGAGTTTTATCTGTGTTCTGTGATTGGGTTGAAATTCATCGAGGCCGTAGAGGGATATATGTGGTTTGAAGTACGTGATATGCAGGTAGCGATCGAAATAGTATGGTGAGGGGGTCCATTTACTTGTGTTACAGAGTATGGAGCCGTTTTCCTGGGGATTTTTGCGAACGACAGTGAGTAACAGGGAGGGGACTGGTTGTCCTCATTTTGCCTAGACACTTTTTCCCAGTCTTCTTTCCCAGTTAATTGTTGCGAGGACTGGGTAAAGTCCTGGTGGGTCGGCTTTGGATTCCGGTCCTCTCAAGTGATAGCGGGTAGCCTCATGTTTACCCTGTCTGGCCGACGGGCGGAAGATGGTAGTAATCGGGTCTGGAATGGAAGCCCTTGGAAGTTAGTAGTACCATATATTGCGCACTCTGGTTGGTCGGTTCGCTTGTGTAACCATGCGTTTGGTAAGAATTGCTTTTTTCCCTGTCCATATTTGCTCTGGAATACTCGTCATTGGAAAGCTTGCCATATTCGTTAGATTATTGGACGTGCTCTCCTTTGCTGGGTCTTTTAAAAGAGAGTTTTCCGTTGGAGATGTCCGTACGATACAGGTGGCTTGTGTAACGAGGCTTGAAATCTGGAGTTCAACGAAAGAGGAAGTTGGAAATTCTGGGACTCGGGTAAAGTCCAAATCGGGAAAATCCTTGGTTCATCTTCTCCAATTGGTTACAATTGCTACTGTTGATGCTGCTATGCTTATGGCGTTTACGTACAGTTCGGGGATCAAAACTTTGTACATGATCTTGCTGGATTGGGTCTGGCTAGCATATATTCCAGTTTTTGGAAATGCGGGGGCAAGTCTATGGTCTAGAACAGTGCTCGGTCTAGACCGATGATTAGTTGCTATGCTGATTTCACTCACAGAGTCAAGTCAGAGTCAGGCTGGAGGAGTTGAGTTGGATTTTCGCAGTGTACAGTAAAGAGGGAACAATTCAAAATGGCCGTCCAGCATATATCCCTCCGTGAAAAGAATATAGTCGCTATAATATCGAAGTGCCCAAGAACGAACCTGAAGAAGGCAGATAAAAGAGAGTCGTGACCACTTTCAGGGGTGAAATTTTGAAGTATTGAAAAGGAGAAGCCACTGATTCCATCCGACATATCCATATCGCAAAACCCGCATCGCCTGCATGGTTCAGGATGAAACATATGCTGTGTGTCTTCGCTTCCAAGGAATGCATCCATGCCAAAACAAACCTAGCAAATCGCTGGCCGTCGTCGAGTCGATTTGGTGGGTTACACTGTGAGATTATTGGAACTCTTCTTTCAAGGTCTGGACTGGCAAGACGTGGGAGTAAGCATGCCGCGCCCGGATCGGAGGATGAATTGAAGTTTCCAATCGAAATGCTTGAGCGGCAGATCGCATAATCTCTGTCTAACGTTACGCATCGGGAGACGACATGAGGCTCAATTGACGGTTGACAAGGGGTATATCGACGTCTTTGAGGAGGATTCGAGTATGTTCGAGTAGTCTGTATTCCTTGAAACAAATTGACAAGCGTCTGATGGATATTCGGATGGTTCCATCAAGATTATGCGGTATTGGAGCCACCTCCGCTCTTCCCATGCCTGTGGTGCCGCCGTTTCCTGAAAATAGTCAACATACAACCCGACAGTATACAATGTAGTTTGAGTACCTGCTCTTCCCATCATCTTAATCATCTGTAAATGGCTTGATAGGCCTTGATACCTTCTTGTTGCGTTTCATACAAGCATCACACCATTCGGCTCTTGGCTCTTCTTGAATTATACAGCCTCCTTGACTACTTGGTAGCTCCCATTCGGAATTATCACAGTACCCAGTGCTACTGTAAAGTAGACACAGCCTTCTATCGGGATCTTCCCCTACAGCCCTGCTGCAGTTGAAACAAATATATATCTTATGAAAACACATTGCAACTTTGGGACCAGATTTGGAGGCTTTTAAGACGTATTGAGCTAGATATATAGGTTGAAAGTGTGAGATAATAACTGTAGATACAAAGGAAGGAGATCAACTGTACATTACAAAGTTAAGGTAAGAATTCATTATGAGAAGATTATCGCAAACTGGTAGATAACTCCACCGTTTACTATACGAAAGCCATCAATGGAACCCTATACTCAACAACCATGCTCAACTTGTGGAGCTATTGGTTTATGACCCCAGTTTTCAGCTGTTTGCAACCCTCATATGCGGTCTTGTTGGGTACAAGCGGAGCATGATTGGCAACAACTAGATGACACATAACTGCATTTCTGCAGAAAATCCCGAGGCTCTGGTTGAGATATATTGCTATGGACAAATCGCTGTGACTGCCAGTCACACAGGTAACAAGACCTGCTCAAGAGGACCAATGAGAGTAGAGATTATCTTGAATTGACCAGGGGCATAGCACCAGGACCAGAGAAAATATCAAGGACTGGTCGCGCAACGGCGGACAAGGAAGATGGCTATAGGACCGGGAAACATCCCCGGTTCCCCAAGGGTCTACTTGTAGCAACATGCAGCGGTTAAGGTGAAAAATTTGCGTGTATCAAAGGCCAAACAACAAGATAGTGGTGTGAGGAATATTAGCGCTGATGCTTGGCTGAAGTACAACCCCCAATCACTGTCCATCGGTATCATAGCATCCGGTATCTACACTCAACGCCGTGAACAACAAGATTGTCGAAAAGATAAAACTTCCAGCTGAGATTATGATACGTCTGAAAATCAACCGTTTAGTAAACTTCGACAATTAGTCTTCAAGTTGAGGAAACAATGCGATTGAAATTCTAAAGCAGGAGGAAACCACAGGAGCCGTAAGAACACACATCAAGAGTTGGACTAAATCACCGGATACCGGAGAGAACTCCGTGTGGGATGACATTTCGGTCTGCCGAAAATAATCAAGGACCGAGCAGAGTAAGTACTCGACTTTTTGTGTGATGTTAACATGACGCTACTGCATGCATCACAAAATGGACATTGAACAAACGGCAGAAGAAAGACAGCGAATGTATAATCACCATGTATCATGATCCCGCGACTTGAAGTTCGATGGGTCGCCAGAAAAAGGATACTCGCGTAGTGCTTCGCTTCCACCGTCAGAAGCGGGAAGCGTCAAAATGCATCAATCGGGAATTCGAAACCTCGCGGCACCTTGGAGAAAAAGCGGACGCGAGAGTGTATGGAGCTAGCAGAAGATTTAACTCTTTCCAGGCAGTCAGCGAGGGGTATTCTCAATGTTGGTGCATTGGTGTGCATTGGTGGCTGCATTCGCGCAGCTGCATAGAAAAGATGTGGGTGAAGGGTATTGAGTCCTCCAATTGGGCCGTCCGATTTCCGATAACTGATAGGGTGAACAACAACAAAAGATCTCTTGTGATTATTTTGGGAAAAGGGTTGGCCCTCAATTTATCAGAGAACAATGCATTGTCTTCTGCTCTTTAAGTAACCAACTGTGAATATTGTTGGTGGTTGAATTCATACAACCGCGAATCTTTTTGATCATTTTCTGACAGACTGCTCATCTATTGTTGGGAAAAATCCGATAGTAAGACCGAAAGCAACTCGATCAAGCTCATTCCTGAACAGGACGCAGGTCCACAGCCACATAACGCCAGGTCTCCTAGAGTTGAAACAGCAAAACCGATACAGTAAGTTTGCTGGCTCTGGAAATCGATTAAAGATATAAATAAAACAGTAGCTTGGCAGGAAAGGAATAACGACCGTACACTTTGTGGCCAACGATAGCTTCACTATATTTCATGAATGAATTCAAGTTGCGGGTAAAGTTTTCATGAAGACTGAAATCGACGATGTGGTGATGAGGTAACGGCGCAAGAAAAAGGGGAATATGATGTGACTTGACTCACTACTCCCAATAAGACACTCCTAATGCAGGTGTACTGCTGCAAGTGTCTCGGCGAGTCTCAATATACAATGAGACGGGTTGGACATTCCAGGAGTACTTGCCCCATTCCTTCGGAGTTGAGATCTTACGCTAGGAATGGACCTGCTTGTTTATCAGACAATGTCGATCTCCCGACAAGGCATTTATCATTATTTACTCGAAGTGGCGTGGTGGAGATCTTGGTATCGTAAAGCCACGCAGCAGCCTACTCTTGATACTTGCCACTTCCAACGCAGTCACAACCTCAAACCTTTTCTTTTGACAAGCCCGTAATGTGAAAGATGAGGCGTACCAACCTGCGTTAGTTATGCATTTAGAAATGGAGGTTTGCCGGTGCTCGTTTAAGAGGAGCTTAGTCGCCCTTCATAAGGGGTGAGGGAATCTGCAAGGCACAAGAATTGCCAAGTAACCACATCTTCTCCTTGTATCGATATATTTTTACTACTTATCAAAGTTGGGGTAAAAGTCAGGGGGCCTCCAAACCGTTGGAAGAAACTTTCGGGAATGGGGAAATAGAGTTGGTAGGAGCTTGAGAAGTACGCACCTACTTACGGAGACTGATATGATGTAGAAACCGCCCTCCCAGGTTCCAGAAATCTGAGAACCCTGTGTCCTCTCCAACATTCCTACCACAAACTATCAGCTTATCAAAGTAACTCACCCTCAACGCGACTCACCTACGCGACTCATCTGTCCCTCACTACTCAATAATTCAGATAATCCCCCGTGAGTCCGTCTCGATACTTCTCTCCTTCTTGCAGTGACACCTTTGATGGAGCAATATCTTAGGTCGTCCTAGTCTTCATCTCTCCATTTCTAGTGATAAATGGCAGGAGGATTCTCCCTTTCACTATCCCATAAGTCTCTTGAAGACCATTCACTCATTCCAAGGTCAACAGATCCATCACCAGTCCTTTCCGCACTCGAAATCCACGTATCCCTACACGAAAACAACACATATTGTTGGTAACCTTCTATGGTAGAGTTGAACAACAATGGCTAACAAGATGGGATAGAACCTCATCTCACATTATACAATTACATATAAATATGTTTGCCGATCAACCTTCTGGTCAGTCGGGATGTGTTTCCCCGCCAGGTTGTCAGTCGATGAGATCTTCGTTCTCGTCAGACACCTCGTCTTCATGGGGGATGTTAGACACTCCCAATTCTACTCCTAGGGCACCATCAGATTTTGTGAAGGTCGAAGGAAGTTTCTTGTCGTCGTCATCTGGGTCTTTCTACACACCAGATAGATTTGACAATGTTTCTGATTTCTCTGCGTCGGCGTTGGGAGAGGAGATTTTCCAAGCACCTATTTCATTTCCCGAAGATACGAAGCCTTTGGGTAATCAGAACAACTTTTCATACGATACTTTCGCAGGGTACAATGGTCGTATGAACGATTATATAAGCTGTGAAGCTCTACGAAGTGCGACCCCATCACTGGATATGGACCTCTGCTCACCCAACTCCGGCTCTCAAGCGTCTCCCACGGCCACCAATTTTGTTGTTCCATCACAAACAACGTTCATCGATGCTTTCGATGTCCATTCTCCAGTTCGTGCGCTCAATTCTTTGCACTTCGATTTGCATTACGACAGCACATGTTCAGACTTTGGCTCCGACTTCAAGCTCACAGGGTCGCCGATAAATAACATGGCTGGAAGTATGAATTATTTCGTGCCGCCTTTATACAAGGAGCACAAGTCGGCGTCAACAACCCCAGCACAGCCTTCTTGCCTTCGACAACCAGTCTTTGGCGAAGGTCTTCCAACATCCACCGCATTGCACTACGTACAGTCACTCCAGAGCCCGCCCCAAGTTCAGGATCCCAACAACTCTAGGCTGTCTCGAAGAAAGAAGCTTCGTGATAGCAAGAGGGATTGTATTGTTGCTGGCAATACGGGCATAGCCATACAGAAATGTCCTCAATTCCTCTGCGTTTGGATCCAAAATGGCCAGAAATGTGGAAAGAAATTCCAAAGAAAAGAGCATCTGCGAAGACATGAGAGGACACATAACAAAAAAGACATCTTTCCTTGCCCTTTCTGCCCTAATGATCGGTTCAATCGCAGTGACAACTTAAAACAACATATCCTAATTCACACGAAGCCCAAGAGCAAAGCATCGCGTACCGCGTACGTACCAGAAGCGGCAGCATATCTTCGCGACTTGGAATCAAAGAGCAAAACACGAAAGCCAAGAGTACTGGCATACGAGGAATGAACGGATTTCATTTGTTCATTTCCGCTATACCCGTTGTTGAGCTGGGACTTTCGTCATAGGCCTGGTCGGGTCTGTGCCGTTTCTTTTTGTGACTGATCATGCAGCTCGAGAATCCCCTGATCTTGTGGCATCAATATCGCCAGGAATGTGCAAATCGTTTGATTTTTTTGATGAGTATTGTTAATGATGGAATCTCATGGAAGGGTTATTGTGTAGATGACGAGTCCGACGAAGACTTTTCTTTCGACTTTCGCTTAGTTAACCCACTCAAACGCCTCAAAGTTTGCGTTTTCATTGGCACCGACTCAATGCTGATAACTTTATTCTATCGTTTATCTTTCATCTCTTTCTTCACTTGTATTAATTGGAAGCCCCTTTATGTACCACTAGGTGGAAAATGGTGAATATTTGAGTGGGGTGACCTGTGAGCACCAAAATCAGCCCAATATTTTTTGGGTAGTTGAACTGTCTTTTTATTGTCTTTTTCAGGAGTGGGATTGGTATAGTTAAGGGTTCCAGATAGGGAAGGTCTCCGAGTTGAAAAAAAGGAGGATATAACACGGTCGTTAACAAACTGTAAAGGATTTAGAAGAATCGCCCAGGCGTGTATTCTACAAGGCTAATCGCTCCTTCATAAAAGGATCTGAAGTTTATATTTCTTAGCTATCAACTGAAAAGTTTAATCAAAAGGACAATCAGTTGCCACACACTTACTTGTATTTCCCATATTATCGATACATACTTATCAGACACAACAATGGCCGTGACCTAAAGCGACGGGTAGGTTGTTCGAGACCCTACAGTGTTACGTCATTGTACTTCGAGTTGGTCTCGATTGCTGGAATCGATACCCGTACTCGTACACTTCTTCATAAGACACGGCCATGCTAGTTGTGCAGAGCGCATCCGGGACCTGCATTGGGACCTGCTTATGCTTGTAGCCGTAACCCACATGCAACTGCCGCAGGTTGATCAAGTTGTTGAAGTACTGAGTCAGGTATGTTGGTGTTGCGGTAAAAGAACAACACAACCTCCGCCAAACAATAAACAAGCACATCGTAGCTGCAGATAATGATGATGTTGGAGGTGAGATCAGCTTCGGTTATACCTCGGATATATATCCCAAAGAGGAAATCTCCGAACCAGGATTAGTTCTTGATTGGCTCAGAATACGAACGGATCGGCGCTAATAAACCCAACAACGACGACATACTCCACATCCAACTACATGATATCTGTCACTCTGCATTACATACATTTCGTCCTGAATATCTCCAAATTTGGCTGAGGATTTTTCCCGGCCGGGACTTTTGTGAGAGAACGACAACAAGCAAGCTGTTTTGACCTCCGGATTGTTAGCGGGTCAGCTGAAAGGAGAGGGGGCATCTAACAGTATTACTAAAGTAAAATAATTTCCATTTTCTTCAATATTTTACTATCGATCAGTAGTTAAGATTATCTCACGAGAGATCGGATTTTCTCTCCAGATCTGTCCAAGATTTCAATATGGTTCGGCCAAGCGGCGAATTGTGTTAGTGTATGGCCAGCGGTTCCCGAGTGAATCAGCAGTGTGAATACTGTGCTGATACCAGCATCAAACAGCTTTCTCCAATGTTTTATGTTGAGTACCATTAATGCTTTTAATCTTCTAGTAATAAGCGAAAAAAAAGACCATAACTGATATGTTCTAGGAAAAACCCAAGATAAGCTCTATCAAATCCCTGATGAAAAGACTCAATATCACCTACCATCAAAAGTTGCTTGTGTATGACTTCTTCTGGAATCCAGAATGAGGAAGTTGAGGGTACAGACATACGCAAATTGAGGCTTCGATGATCTTCAGGGCATGTGTTTTTACCACTGAATTGATTGGCGTATCAAGTTCTAATGATGCAAAGATAAATAATCTCCAAAGTAGTCTTTATGCGACTGATTTTGCAGGCACTCTGGTGGCTATTCACTTAGTCCAAACGCATTTGTTTCTATGCATTGTCTTTGTCGCATTAAGCTCTTTGGGATCTACTGAATTTTTCATGGCTACAGCACGTTGAAAGGATGAGAAAACTTCTTAGAAGACTTTGGATATTCTATAATAATTTCTCACTTTCTGAAAGTGTTCTAATATTAGAGTCAACTGTAGTCTAGCTTGCTTGTTAGCGGCACAAGCTCGGACCACTTATGCGGTATCAACAAAGCTAGCCAGCCGACCATCATAAACACACTGTCGGATCGCAAAATTCACACTACACTCAGTACATTACTAGTGTTTCACTACCTGCCATACTACCACCTTGATTAATTGAAAATGGCCCATCTACCATCCTACAAGCAGGCGATTGATGATCCTAGCATCCCCCTCCTTGTCTCAAGCTACCTGAATGCAGCCGATTTGCTTCTTTGCGCCTGTGTAAACAAGGAATGGTACAATGTATTCAACCCTTTGATATGGGCAGATCCCGTTGCTATCATTGCGAAACAAAGTAATCCATTTAGTAAGTTGTCCATGATATTATTAGAACAGCTTTATACTTACATCTCAAACAGGAAATGTCTACCAATTCCTGGCCCAGTTGCCGGCCTTCGCAAGAGAAAATGCGGCAAGAACTTGCGATTTGATCACCACCCTGGATTTCCGCCCAATATTCTCTCTCTTCGCCATTTGATTCAACATCAAAGGCAATACAGCGATTACGAATACCTCCTCACCACCCAATTCATCTGCAAGACCGTCGTCCACCTCCCCAACATCCGCTTCGTAATCTTTGAGGGTCTCAATATGGAAGAATACAAAGCTCCATTTGTATTCATGAACGCACCCCTCGCTGTAATCAAGAAGATCCTGGCCATTAGCGCCCATGGAATGCAAGAATTGGATCCAAATTGGATCAAGGAATTTTATCATCTCGTGTATCTTGATATTTCCTACACGGCCAGAGCAGAGAATTTCGGAATGGCATTCAATGCCGATAGCTTTGTGTTTTTGCGGGTGTTGAAGATGAGAGGTTTGAGGCTTACGGATAATCTTGTTCCACCTCTTGTTTATTCTACGGGTAGGAAATTGTGGAGTTTAGGTGAGCATTCATTTTCTTTTTTCTAGTTTGAGTAGACATGTTTTTTCCAACGTATTAGTGCGAGATAATACTTTCCGAAAGGTTTCGGAGAGCTATATTCCGCGAGTGGGGTTACAATGTACCTGAATTTTACTCTTTTCGTATATTTGAAGTTCTAGTTTTGTTTTCTCTCGTTTGATTATAGATCTTTTTGACTTCAGAATATGGATTTCGTTCAATGTATAAGCGTGAGATTATATCTTCGAAAAGTCTCGGAGAACAGAGTTACATGTATTAGGTTACAATACACTTAATACTTACACTCATCGCAACTTTCAATTTCCAGCTTTACTAATCTAATTTGGTTAGAAAGTAACACTAGAGAAACGAAGTTACCCATAATTGTTAATTTTTAACCATTTGAAATTACTTTTCTTTATTTCGTTTCTCTAGACTAGTTAAACGATATATTTCACAGAGATTTCTTTGGATTGTTGTTAATATCTCTCTTCTTTTCTCTTATTTTGTTTTCCTAGACTATTTAACCAAGAGATTTTACAAAGATTTCTTTAGATTATTATTACTCTCTCTCTTGTCTTCTTTTATTTTATTTTCCTAGATTATTTGACGATGTATATCACAAAGATTTCTTTAGGTTATTTTTATTATCTCTCTTGTTTTCCCTAATTCAGATTATCTAAATTGTTCAAAAACTGTATTTTTTTGAAGTTTCTTACAGATATTAACGTTATCTCTAAACTTTTCCTTAATTTCATTACTCTTTATTTATTTATTTATTACTATTTAACGTCAGGCGGAATCTAACTCGCGTGGGCTAGGTCCTAAAAGTCCCATTGTTGGGCAAATGACGCTAGGGGGGTGCCCTAGGCTACAGGGGGTGTAAATGAAAGTGCGCTAATTTACAAGAGATAGTTTAAAGAGAAGCCCCACTTCCGGAACAGCTCTCATTCTGAGTTAGTTTAAGAGCCAGAGTAAAAATAAGTTAACAGTGTACAAGATAGTGAGTAGAGAACAAGAGAAGAACTATATAAGACAGAGACCAAAGAACAGTAGAAAGAGGAGATATAGTGTAAGGAAGAAGAGGACTATCTAGGAGGACAGATCCTAGAGTAGAACTTTGTCTTATAGTAGATCTTGTGAAACAGTTCCTCGCATTGTGGTCCGAAGAGGAGTTGAGGGTTCCTCTGAGCCTTTGCAAATAGCTCAGGGGCTACTCTATTTGCTAGCCGGCAAAATAGTAGGTGAAATTGAGTCTTTTCTCTTCCACACTTACACTCCCCTGAAGTAAGTAGCGTGTCGAGGTGAAAGAAGCGAAGGTGATAAAGAGTAAAGTCACCGTGGCCAGAGCGAGCTGCAATTAAGCGAGCAAGAACCTCCCTTGGTAAGCGAAGTGATTGAGGCTTCGAAGACCAGTTGTTAAGCCCTAGGTCCTTGTATAAGCTTGGAAGCGTGGTTTTCCAGAGTTTCTTTGCAAGCTGAACCCCTGTCTCTTTAACTTCTCTTCTAAGTGTAGCAGTGCAGAGTATAGAAGGGGGGTCAGGAGGAGGTAGCCGAGCGCCTCTTCCCGCAGCTCTGTCCGCAATCTCATTCCCTTGAATTCCAATGTGACTAGGGCACCACCTGGTTTGAACTTTCCCAGGGTATAAAAGAGCTAACTCGTTAACCCTATTAAAGGTCCCTTGCGAGGTGCCACAGGATCGGTAGGTCAGTTGAAGTGTAGCTTCAAGATTGTCAAGGCAAATCCAGCACGTCCTAAATTTGTCGAAAAACATTATTAAGTTTATAGTATCAAGTTATTTTTACATACTTATTTGAACTTCTTTTCTCTTTTCATATTATTCAACAATCTAAAAATTTCATATCATTTTTCTACATTTTTGCCGTGAAAACCCGATATCAAATTGCTAACTCAAACCAGACATCCGAGACAACTTCCTCACCGACATCACCATCCAACACCTCCTCTCCTCCTCCTTCCAACCCCCAATTCCCCTCCCAGAGGCCCCTATCTCGCGGTCTCGCGATGAAACCCTATTCTCGCACCCACCACCATACAGAAGACACTGGGAAGTAGACACCCACTCCCAGATGGGCACATTCCTGGCAAAAGCCCGTTCTGATTCTCTCTCCGGTATAATCTCCTACCTTCAATCAACCGGAAACCTCCTCCAAAGCGGCCCAGTCCTCGACGTAGAGGACGGCCTCAACCAACCAACAGGTCTCACACACCTGTACATCTCCGGCAACAAACTCTCACGATACTCCGGCGAAGCCCTGCTTTCCCAGAATCGGCTGCTGGTACTAGATCTCGGAGCTATACAAATCGCTCCACCGCAAGAATTGCGGGTTCCTTATACGACGGCACTAGGAATGGTGGATCCTAAACCACTAAACTACGAGTTGGGATGTCGACTCCAGAGTTTGCGAATCCATCACTCGATCGTAACATCCATCCCCACCATCATCCCCTGCTCCTCACAAGGCTACCAAAAGCCACATCTCCACCACGCCGACCTCTCTCCCACCTATCTCAACGAGTCCGGCCCCTTTCTACCAGGGAAGAATCACGGAATCGAGACTCTAACACTAACACACCTCCCCAAAACCTCTTACGGCCCAACCATCACGCGTCTCACAGCCTTCCTCGATGCTTGTGTGCAGCAAGAGGCACTTCTCAATCAAGTTAAAGAGGGGATGGTGAAGAATAGGAGGGCGCCTGAGGTACTTCCAGGTTTGAAAGTCCTCCGATTGGAGTTTTTGCGCCCGGATTTGAGGGTTGGTGGGGGTGGTGTTGCGGCGTCGGGGGATGAGGATGCGGAGAGGTTTTTAGCCGAGTCTGAGGGGGACTTTTCGTTTTTTGAGGAGGCGCGGGGTGCTGGGGATGAGGGGCAGGGTAGCGGTAAGGGGAAGGAGAGATTCGAGGCGAGGGAGGAGGAAATGGATGTTGTGGAGTGTTTGAAGGGTTATAGACGGGAGAATAAGGGGTGGAGCGGGAAGTTGGAGATTGTTTTTATGTGAAGGATGGGGAGACTTTACGTTTCCGCCTGGGGTAGTTTGAGCTACGGCGATAAATAGGAATTGGCAGGGAGCGAGACTTTTGGGGCTCTTGGGGCTCATTCTGTATAAGTAAAATTTCGTTTGGTACGGCTTTGGTCCTGATTAATACGCGAAGGGGCAAGCAGGAAACGAATCACGAGTATGATACCACATTGAAAACCATAATTGACACCGCGAGAATATGCTCAAACTTTTATTGAATTGGACTTTTATCAAAATGAAATGAGATTGGCAACAAACCATCTCAAATCAACAAAGAATCCCCAAAATCGTCAATCTCCCTACCGCCCACTAACTAGGTAGCTAAGCATCATTAGTGTACCAGCCAAAAAATCATGCCAGTCCCAAGAAGCAGTAAGCCCCCAAGCACCAAACTCCCCAAGAAACCCCATACCATTACTCCTTCTTCACAGGAACAAGTCTAACCATCAAAGGATCCTTACTAAAAAATCCCCTAACCTTCAATCCACCCAACCAATCATCCTTTCTCTCAACACGCTCCAAATCAAACTCCAGAAGCAAACTAGCAAGCACAAGCTTCATCTCCAACTGCGCAAAAGCCTTTCCGATACATGCTCTCGGGCCAACCAGGAATGGCTGGATAACCTTCCGCTTATCGTTTCTGAATTCCGCCGGTGGGTCAGCCAGCCAGCGCTCAGGGATGAATTCTTCGGGCTTGAAGAAGTTGTGGGAACAGTGGCCGGTGGAGTATATGTCGACTGCTACGCGGGTATCAGGTGGGACAGTGTGGCCGCTAATAGTGACGTGGTGACCGGATGGAACGACGCGCCGCATGTGGCCTGGGACTGGCGGGAAGAGACGGAGAGCTTCGCTGAGGACGGCGGGGAGGTAGGTTAAGTTTGGGATTTTGGCACTGTTGATTTCTTCTTGGGAGGAGAAAGAGGTGCGGACTTCGTGGGTGAGTTTTGCTAGTACTCGAGGATTCTCAAGGAGGTAGTATGTCAGGCCTGAGAGAAGAGTTGCCGTGGTTTCTGAGCCGCCGATGATGAATGAGACACAGGTTTCGAGGAGCTCTTGATAGGAGACTCCATCGGTCTGACTTAGGTTTTTGAGGGCTGGCTGAACACTGCTCGAGGTTAGATTTGTTTGGGACGAGGAAAGAACAGTACTTGCAAGTCTTTCCGAGATTCAGTATCGCCGAGTCTTTTAGTCAACATATCTTCAGTCGAACGAGTATGTTTTTCCGCAGCGTCTCTCATCTTTTTGGGAACGAGAGACATCAAGAGAGGAGTAAGTGGCCAGAAGTTTTGCGTCACTCCAAGAATTGCTGCTCCAGTGGCATAGCCAAAGACATTTCCAATCCAGATCTTGATCCAATTAGCATATTATACGAAGTTGGGGAGATTTGAGAGGACTCGCGTGCAATGTGGTAGTCTTGAGACAATCAAATGAAGTGCCAAAAGTAAGCTCACCGCCAATGTCAAATGTGACAAAGTTATACCATTTACACATATCTAGTGGTATACCACTATTTTCTTTTAAGGCGAGGATGAATTCAGAGACATGTTTGAGCAAGATAGGCTCTTGTTCTCGTCTGGACCGCTCCGAGAATGCAACGGCGAAATTTCCTCTTCTGAACGTTAGTCTGTTCTTTTGATCCATAAGTGTTTTTATATAGATGACATACCTGATGCGAGAATGAACATGATCAGCAAGTGGATAAGGTCCTAGACCACTGACACCACTCTGAGGAGGAATCCAATCTGTGGGGTTCTTCTGTAATTGGCCAAATCCAGGTACCTTCTTGACATAGATATCATGCCAGGCTTCCTCGTCAATGAAAGAGATCTCTCCTGGTGCTAATCGAATTGTTGGACCGTATTCCTCATGGAGCTTGGCGATTTTGTAAGGGAGTCGACCGATTACAAAATAGTAAGCATACGGGAGTCGAGTCATGGCCCAAAGGGGTAGACCAGGGAATGAAGCCAATGGGTGTAAGGTGATGCGGTATATGGCAACTGCCAGTGTGAGGAGTATTGCCTTGAAAGTTGTTAGCTTGATTAGAATCCTGGAAGAGGGAGAGGAAGTTGGCAACGAGGAATATGCCATTGTAGGTCTCAGCTACTACAACAGATATGTCTCAAGAATCAATTGGGTCAATAAGGAACTGTACTTACACTCAACACAACAAGCAGGCCAAGAGGCAATGTTGTGACAGCTTGACCTGCCTTAGTTGGGGAACTTTCAACCATTACCGTCATATCTGCGAATTGGATTGAAACTTGTTGTCAATAATGTGATGGTTCCTGTGGCTTTTTATACCAGTATACTAGTAGCGTTGGTTATGACTCTTTAGTTGACAGTAGCAGAAGGTCAATCTCGCTTTGAATGGTTCAAACACAAGCTGTCTTGCTGAACAAATGAGAATAGAAAGAAAGAAGAAGCTAGGAGGTCTTTATAAGTTTGAGAGTTCTTGGTTCTGTTTGAACTCTCAATAGTTTGTGATTGTTTCAGTTCTTATAAGGAAAAGAGGAGAGAGGGAAATTAGGTATCCATAGAGCTGATTGTCATTCACTTACGCCTCCAGTTGGAATCTAGACAACTCCACAGTGCCACCAACTCTACAATCCAACCAATCCACATAGATAACCTGCCTTGACTAGCCATCGTATACATCCTTCATGAAGTGGGGTATTGCTATCACGTCAGCTGCAAAGGATACTTGCAGCCATTTTTGAAGAAAATCCAAAGACTCGACATTTTGAAATTGGAAAAAAACCCTATAAGAATCCATCATTCACTTGTTGAAAGACAAGAAAAAGTACCAATGCACCTCTTGAAGGTTGAAAACTGGGAATGTTTGATGACTACAGGAGAATACTATTCACTCTGTCCCAGCAGACTTCCCGTGTTGATATAGGTAAGGATGAGTCTTTTGGCTGAGGCACAGGGATTTTGCCCCACCATCTTCAGACTCAGCCTTATATCCATCTCCATCAAATAGTAGGGGTTTCGTGTTTTGAAGCAGATATTGAAGCCATCAACAACACTTGTGGGCATGGTGAATTGTAGATTGAAACAATGGAACCAATCTTAAAAACATCAGGGACAAAAAGTAGAGACTAGCTCTGCGACTGAAATACAATTCTGGAGTTCTCAAGTCTTCCATCAGAAGTGATTCTATCGTATAATCGTATGTGTCCGCCGCCTATCGGGCCAACAATATGGCACAGCAGCTGCATCCTACTCTGTAGATTGTCACACAAGCTAAGCGCCTATGAACGACATCTGACTTGAGGTATCCGATGGAGAACGCCTCCAAGGCACGGAGCAACCTATAGAAGCATCTGATGAGCTATAAGTTGATGGTGGCTTGTCGAATTTCAGGTCAAGAACAGCTATATATTGAATCTCGATGTCAGAGCCTTCATGACTGCGAATATGCAGATAAGAAATAATAATTCCACCAATGTTTTCGTTTTGCACCAGGTTTGAGATGCAGAAAGTGAAAAATTGGCTTGTATGTTGAAGGAGGAGTGTAAGAGTTGAGGGAGTGAGTAGGGGGAGGAAGAAGCATAATAGGACCTCGGGAGTTCCAAGGTTCCCTCGTCTAAGGTGAGCACGTGCGCAGGCCGTCTCTGAGTCATGTGACAAGGTACCCGCAAATGAGCGTTATGCTTCCGTCGGGTCAGTTGCGCTGCAGCGTCATACGGGCTATTGCTGTTCTCGTCGCTGAACCACAACACCAACACCAACACCAACACTCCGACCACCTTTCTCGACCTCGGGCCACTCTTCTGATTTTCGTTCTGCGATCCGCATCTGACTTTCCATCCTGTGATTTCTGCCAGCGAGCGCTTGCAATCTTTGTTCCCCTTCCTGTCCTGTCCTTACAAATCCAAATCTACAACCATGCGGTTACCTTCACGTCCGGTCGATGCCGTCATCGCTTCAGTCGTTCTATTTCCACTTTTATCTGCGGCTGTGAATTTTGATTGTGAACATATTCAAGCAGACGGAAAAGGATTCAACCTCAAATCCCTAGCTGGTCCCTATACTTTATCACACCAGGCCGATGCAGGCAACAACTGGCTAAACACAACATATTCTATCGACCTTTGCAGTCCGCTTAAGAAGAAGAAAGGTGGAGATACGAAGACGGATTGTCCGCTCAATACTCAGAGTGAGTTTTGAATACGATTCTGATCCCTGTGGTCTAATACTAAAACACTTTCTAGTTTGCGCAGTTGAGCACCTTATTCCAAAGGATGACGAGACGAAGGGGGTACTTAAACAAACATTTGCGATAGTGGGCGACTTCCACGAGAAAGGGCGCGATATGGATTCCAAGTTTCATCTACTTTCAAAACAAGCCGGACACGAGGATTCGAAGAAAGAAGGGATTCTCCTTGAGTTTGGCGGAGGATTAAGGACCGAGGAGACGCAGAAGCGAAAACAAAAGGCAATCATTGAATTCATATGCGACAAAGCTCGGACTGGTTTGGAGGGGTTGATCAGCGAAAGAGATCTGTACGAGGAGAGTTTGACCAAGAGAGAAGATGCCGCGACTACACCAAGTCTGATATTTGAGAGTTACGCGGCAGATAAATCAGACGCATCTATCGATGTCCTGAGATTGACCTGGAAGACAAAGGAGGCTTGTGAGGACGCAAAAGAGCAAAAAGATGCAGAGAACCGTTCGCACTGGGGTTTCTTTACATGGTTTGTCTTGATGTATGTACTTGAAACATCCTATGCATTGCCTCGGTCGTTTTACTGACTTTATTTCTACAGTGCATTTTTGTCAACAGCAGCATACTTGATTTTCGGCTCATGGCTCAACTACAACCGATATGGCGCACGAGGCTGGGACCTACTACCCCACGGAGACATCATTCGAGATGTTCCATACTTAGTCAAGGATTTCTCGCGAAGAATCGTGAACTCTATACAAGGTGGAGGAAGTAGAGGCGGTTACGCAGCTGTATGAAGGAATTGATTTGAGAGAAAAGGAAGCATAAATTATAACTCCGCACGTCGCGGGTATAGGAGGTGGTGAGAGGAAGGAATCCAATAGGGATGGACAGCCTGGGGAATTAATAGAAGATGCATAGGGGGCCCTGCATTTTTGTACTATCAAAATCCAATCCAGATGTTGGTTTGCGAAATTCTATGTATAATTCTGTTTGTTTTTGGTAGCCTATTTATTCCTGCGGGTCTTGGAGGGTGTTTTTCTTGGAATTGATAAGGATGGAGTTCTAGCCCGAGGGCGATGTTTTTGTTGTGGGATTGTGAGAACTTTTGGCCTATCGATGTATTGCAAGCCGGTATGATTTGATGAAGTCCGCTTTTCGTATCGTTATGGAGTGCAAGGGTTCAGCACATCTTCCCCACCTGGAGAACCCTAGGAGTATCATTTTAGACCTCACCTCACGTTTGACCATCCTATGATGGCTTTTCTACTTTGCCATCTTTCATTTTATTTCGGTTAACGTCTCTTCTATAACATATCCTTAGCCTTCCCTCTTTTCTCTTCTCTGCTCTCTACAAGTATCAATGGGTTTGAGTCCAAAGATTGATTTAGATGCTCCTTTTTTGATTCGATTGATTTGATCTATTTTCAATCCTACTAATTGGATTAGCAAAAGTGGTATCCAACGTAGAGCTAGATATAAAGTTAAATGTTTAGATTCGCAATTTATGTAATCTGTACAACTTCTGGTTGCTTGTCGGACAGTTGACTGGTTTATTTGATTTGCAACTCGCTGTAAATCTTTAAAGGTACTCGAGTACTTACGAGTAGAGGAATAAACAAAAAAGCCCATCTCTTGTTTCCCTTTTCATCTCTCCTCTGATCTCCTTTCTTATGTATTTTACCTTCTTATACACACTACCATAGAAGTCCACTCCCCTAGAAACACGAATACATCCCCTGTAACCTAGCTACTGCTATTATTTTACTATCCCCTCCCCAAAAATAAAAATCCAAATACGATTTTCTGTCCCTCTCTCGCATCATCACTCTCCTTACCGATACCCACTCATTACCCTTGGGCAAGAACCAGGAACTTAATATCATCTCCTCTCCCTTCCCAAACCCTCTAAGCTATTTTGTCTTACACTTCAAGAACCTACACAACTTAAAGTACGGCAGCAATTGCAGCATAGGTACAGCAGAAAACACGGAGACACCACCGAACCCCCCAATTCAAATCCCACCAATCACGTCCGACCAAAACACCCATCCATTATTCGCAGGTGTGGTGTGGTACTTGTACAGCCCCACATACCTCCATCCCCGATCCCCACAATTCACCAAAAAAAAGGGGGAAGCTCGCCTCGCCAATAGAAGAGCAAGGGGGGGGAAATCAAGATGATCGCCCAAGCACTACGTCATACAAACGACCGTCAGCAATCAGAGGGCCTTGCAAGCAGCACACACACACACAAGCAGTCCGTCGACATCATTTCGCGGTGAATCCTTCGCGTAAAAAACCTGCTTCGCGTCATAACGTAGGGGGATGGGAAGGGGAGGGGAAGAGATATATTAACTGGGTTCCTGCTTCTGAGATTCTGGCAGTCAACCATCCTTGGAGATTTTCTAGGATATCCATTTACGAAGTCACAATACTACGAACCAGAACGAATATTTTGAAGATACAAGCTTTGATACCTCCATATCCCATACTCTACTCCACACTCCACCTCACACCAATCTACCAATCCCAAAAGGACATCACAAAACAAACTCCAAACCGCAACCATGCCCCTCTTCTCCCGCTCCACACCCCCCCAAACAACAACCCACAACACNTCACAAAACAAACTCCAAACCGCAACCATGCCCCTCTTCTCCCGCTCCACACCCCCCCAAACAACAACCCACAACACAGTAACTAAGCCCCTCCCCCAAACCCACCACCACCCCTCCCACCACTCCAACAGAACCACAACAACCAGCTCCCCAAAACGCTCTTCCACCCTCTTCTCCCGTCGCCGTTCACCCTCTCCCGTGCGCACCACTACCACAACCTCACACCGAAACTCGACCACCTCCTCGGGTGGCTTGAGCAACCTCCTCCATCGGCATGAAGACGCCTCGATCGTCGCAGCGCGAGAGAGGGTGCTAAATGCTGAAGCACGAGAAAAAGATGCGGATCGGGCGTTGAATCAAGCAAGGATCGCGGTTAGGGAGGCGAGGGAACATGTTAGGAAGATTGAGCTGGAGGCTGCGGAGGAGGCGAGGCTCGCGAGGATTAAGCAGGATCAGGCGAAGGATTTGGGGAAGAGGGGGAAGATGCTTGGTCGTAAGTTCTTTGCTCTCTTTTATTCCTTTTTTGTGCTTTTGAATTTGGGTTATTGTGGATGCTAATTTTGGGACTAGGTCATGATCATGTTGTTTAGGAGGTCGAAATATTGGAGTAAAGGTTTACTTCGAGAAGGGATGTATTATTGGAAGGAATCAGAATCACGAATTATGATGTTGGGACGTTGGAGTTGGGTGGTTGGTAGCGTTGGGAGTTGGATATTGTACTATTATGTTTCTGATTTAGCATACCAAAGCAAGGGCGCGCGGAGCGTCAATTTACTTGCTGATTCATCCAGTCCTCTATGTACCCATTCCAATCCCATGAATGCACAATGCGGCAACTATCATCCCTCCTCTCTTCTCTCATGCTCTATACTCTACAAAATAGAAACCCTTCAGAGATAAGAATCTATCATCAAACGTCTTATTAAACACTTCGCAAGAAATTCAATCCGTAGAAACAAGATCATATTAAGGCCTCTCGTTAACCTCTTACAGTACTATAGCTCAAATAGAATACCACCACACTCCATTCGAGTAATCTTTTCCCATTCATTAAATTTCCACGATCACATCCCTTTGACTTACGAGAGACCGGCTCATTCATTCATTCCACGGTTTATATGTACAACCAACTATCAGTTCGCTCCGTACCATCAACCAGAATAAACTCCTTCCACTCTACCATCAACCACCAGGACAGCACAATGCCACCTGACTTATAAAAATCATTCAGCCATGATAATTATTCATAAATCCCCAAAAAGTATCATTCCCAAACGCACCCTCAAAATGCAAAGACGTATTAATTCCCTGTCCGATAGGGATTGCAAATTGATTCGCATCCCAGACACCCACCTCAAAGCCACCAGTCGGAATACCGTTGGCACCGACATTAGATTCCATACCCGCTCCCAGATCATTGTAAACCAAATCGTGGAAGGGTTGAAGTGGAGCCATAGAGCTAAAATCGAAGCTTGCTAATTGAGTATCCCATCCTGGTGGAGCGGAAGATGTCGGTGTAGGGAGATTGTTTGCTGGAGGAGACGTGAGGTTAGAAATTGTGGGAAGGGTATAGGCTGAGGAAGGAGTACCGGACTCAAGTTTTGACAATGACGACGTACTCGAAATAGATGGGTGGTGACTTGGTGAGAATTGATTGTTGCTCATAGGATTGGGATAACTCTCCGATGTTGCTGGAGAGGGGATTGCTACAGGTTTCATCATTTGTTTCGGGAAACCGAGTGTTCGCTTTAGACGAATGTGCATTGCCTTCAAAATACCCAAAGCTGTCTTCGCCATAGTATTCCTATCGCTCATCTTTTCAAATCGTTCCATTCCCCATTCAAAATGCTGAAGCGTATCGTCGAGATCTTCTTTATTCTCGAGTGGATGCAGAATGTAAATGGCAGCGACCAGAACAATCGCATCAAAGGTATTTAATACCAATGAGAACATCTTGTAATGCAACGAGCTCAACATGTTGAATAGAGCTCGTTGAGCGCGGAGAACGTCCAACGCCGCTTTCAATGCAGATGTACGGCTTGATGGACTTGAGAAAATATAGGGTCGGTGAAGAGCCATGATTGAAAAGGCCATTCCATTTTGAAAATCAGGTCGACACTTTCGAAGCCAGCACAAACCTGGCGCATCATCGAAAGTTGTGTCGGGGTTTTGAGCCCGGAAATATGGAGGGCAGTCCAACCAAACCTGTCTTATCATGCTGTCCATAGTCTGTACTCTGGCCAGGTTGTTTTGGTTAGGATCTTCTTTCTCTAGATTAAAAATGTCCCATAATGGTGCACTGATCTCGGCCTTCCAAAGCAACATGGTCAGAGGCGTTGGTGGATCAGTGGATGATCGCTTCGAAGGTGCTGATTCTCGAGGGGTTCGTGGAATATTGGAATCAATAGGAAATAGGGGTTTGCCATCGCGTGGGTCAATCGTTGTCGGGCGACCTAACACAATCGCCATATGAATATCCCAAAGTGACAGAATTAACCACATTCTTCTTCGGAGTTGTTCTTGCCACAATCCTTCCAATATCTCCTCGGGCTTTACGTCGGGCTTTCTGATGGTGAAGTTGGTATCCTTGTGTAATCCAATTTCTTGAGCATCACGAATAGTTGATGACAATGAATGCCAGGCTTCCGTAACCAGGCCGACGCTCTTCAAGTAGGCTGTTCTTAGGAAGCTAGCTTGTACAGTGACGAGAGTTGTGTGCCGTTTACCGAGCAGAGCCAAAATTGAGAGACCAGATTCGCTGTAATCGTTGGCCAGGTCGTCAAATGTCATGCCAGCCGCATACTTCAGAGCATCCAAGGTCGGGTCGTAGTCAATTGGCTGATATTGCAATGCTAACGCGAGACATTGGAATAGCAGAGCTGGAAAGAATTGTAAATCTCCGGGTAATTCCAGAGGACCCTTGTTCAGTGTTGCAAAGGATAAATTGTTCCAATTGTTCAGATGATCTCTAAAAATCCCCTCATCCAAGGGAAAGTATTGATAATTGACTTCTCGGAAATATGTCTCGAGGAGTTTTTCGATGTATGGTCTGGAGGGTAACTGTCTGATGAGACTCTTGTACTTTTCGCGTAGACCACTCTGGTCTCGTTCGGTGGAGGTATATCCCGATAACAGTAGATTGGCGTCAGCATCGTGCTTTTCAATCTTTTGAAATATGCCCAGAGTTGTATTAATGTTTCCGTTCGGTTTGGCGTATCCCAGACCGGTTATCTGGACTGCAGAGTCGGAATCCGTTTCATTGGGCTTGATCACACTGAATGCGCCTCCATTCACTGATGATGCGCTGACCTTCTCGTCCAGCAATTGTTGCTTCCTCGCGGATTCATTCTCGTAGTGGCAGAGATCCTGCTTGCCGCGGGTGATGCAGTTGGAGCAAGGGGACGCGCGATCGCACTGCAAAGTAGTGTAAGTAAGTAGGACGATCGCTGGACGAGGGTGAGGATGAGGGTGAGGATGAGGGTGAGGGCGAGGGCAAGAAAAGAGCTCGGGATCAAGTCACCTTTTGCTTGCGACGATGGCACTCGGTACAGGAAATCACAATCCGCTTTCGCTTTCGCGGGGCCTTTATCGGGCTTGGGGGTCGAGGGACCTGGACGTCTTGAGGAGCTTCGGTTGACTCCATTTTCCTTGGTGGTCGGCGTTAATTGATCTCAGAGCGAAGGTCCGATGACATGTAAAAGGCAGCGAGGTTTGAAGTGCCCAGGTGCAGGTGAGGTGGGGATCATCATGCAATCACGGCAGCGCACAGGTCACCATCGGAGAGTGGGCGCCCGCAGTCGGTTGGTGGGGTTTTTTCACCCGAAACGTCAAGAGAAGCAGACAGAGTAGCTGAAGAGCTAAACTAGAAACAAATACTGAACTGATTATAAATCAGAGTGTTATCGATATACATACGAGAAAGGCGACGCGATTTTCCAGGCTTAACTTTTGAAGCATTATATAGTATGCTATTTGATGAAGAAGAAGTTGGAGTCTCTGATATAAATACTCTCGCTTAATTATATTTACAGAGACTTTTTGCTAGATTAAAGCTACCCTTCAATCTAAGCGACTAAGTCTAGACCTCGAGGCAAATGAGGAAAACGTAGTTACATCTGACTTCTTATTATGGTTAACTAGTAACTCGTGAATAAACCCCTCTTCTTCTCTCTTTAGCTTTAAATTATCGTTTACGAACTAGGTAATCAAATACACTTTCTTCACAGTTCTCACACTTACTACTTGTATACATTTAACACAGAAGGGGGAAAATGGTAAATAATTGACATTCGCATTTCTCGAGCTACTTTCCCACGACCATTGTTAATTGACATATGCTAGTTTCCGCCTTTTCGCGGGTGTATTTTCCGGTGAAGCGACACCATTGTCCTGAATGTCTCTGTCGAGCTCGGCTGTTGGCGAGGCAGGGGAGCCACCTTCTTCGGTCATTTCCTGGACTGACATCTGTTCTACCTTAAGAGGAACCTGGTGTGGTAGGAGATATTTCAATGAACCCGGTTGATCTCTGTTTTTCAGTGCTGTTGAAGCCTTGGTCACTTCTGTGGGCACTGGTAGCCACACACGAACCTGAACGTCCTTCATCTCCATTTGTTTTCCATAGAAAATGCCGTTCCTGGTGTCCATGTTGACTTTGCTCATCCGGTATAAGGCGAGTGCTGCGTGTTGAAGATCTCCCCAGCCAGTCTTATCAATGTTGAAATTCGAATACTTGCATCTGCCATAAGCCTCTCCACTAGCCACTTCTCTCTGGATCTCAGAAAGCTTGGGTCCAGCAGACTTCGTTCCATGGAAGTGGGGATCTGCATTCCGAACCAGGCGAGGATTCACACTTGCTTCATAGTACTCTTGCCAATGGGGTCTCCACTCGCGCGATTCCATCCAATTCTGAACAGCTGCTTTAGACTCTAGACCCAAGTACTTGGCCATTACTTCGAGTCGTCTTTTTGCCTGCGGCTGATCAGAAGGGTTGGCGTGAAGGTAATCAGGTGCGGGTTCCTGTGGTCCATCGGCCGAACGCGTTACCACTTGACTGAATTTTCGTGTGATTTTCTTAGGAGTATTCTGTGCTTTCAATCTTTCAATGTACTCTCTTCTGACTTGCCAAGGAATCGGCGGCAGTGTGAATAGTATCCTGGGCTTTGGGGGTTCTGAAGGTTCGGATAATGAGGCGCCACCTCCTCCCGAGTCCATGTTGACAGTTGAAGTAAGCCTTGTTTAGAGTCAGTAATAAGATATCTATTGCAGCGTGGCAAGGTAAAACATACCGAAAGCTGAGATGAGAGCTAAGGGGAGGGTGTACAAGGTATGTCGTCGGTATGTGTGAGTGACGAGTCGATCTAAAAGTGAAATTACTTCATTCGTAGTTAGCGCACGTTAAATTATATGTTTGAGGGAAATACAAACCTGCGATAGAGTTCTAGCAATGGTGTTGAGAAACAAACTCCAAACTCACACGTTGATCGATGTGGTTGTCTGCTTGAGATTGAAGTTTTTGAGATTGTGGGGAGGAGAAGTTGAGGTTTGTGGAGGGAGGAGAAGCTGCTATTTGAAGAAGGAGTGGAAATAGGGGAAAGAGGGGAAAGAGGGGAAGTTCAGGTTTGATTGAAAGTGAACTTCGTCGCGCGTCGAAGAAGTCTCTGTAAAGACCCGATCTTGGCACGAACCGCGATATTGTCGTTGACTCTGACTTCGATAGGACCAACGAGACGCTTGTTGCAGCTCCTAATGCGATACTGTTAGAGATAATAAAACCTCCAAGTTGGCCTATCGAATCTTCAACTTCAATTAAAGCGGGAGTGTAGGGTTAAGGAAGGAGGGGGAAACGGGGAGGGAAGAGAGGTAAGTTTTTGTTTTGTTGACGTCTAAGGAGGAGAGAAGGTTTCAGCAGACGGGCGAGGCTATATGTAGAGATCGAGGCGGCCTGTCGGTGTTAAGGTAGGTCCGAAAAGCCTGCTATTATATTTCCACCTAGACTGTCACTTTTCTAAGTATTTTTGAAACATTGATTCGTGGTATTACTCTACGGTCTTGTTTGTTTTTCAGTCAAGCTGTTAAGAGATGAAATTTATAAGATCTATACAACTGTTATTATAGTTAAATATCCGTTGCTTGATTCTCTTACCTTGATTATTGTACTTTCTTTGGTAGTATTTTTCTATTACCATAACGCTTTAATGTTATAGTGGTATTATATAATGGCCATACCAAGTATAAGGTAGGCTTATTGTCACTAGAAGTGTACAAGGACTATTCCAGAATAGGGTTAATATTGGTCGCAAGGAGCGAAGAGATCTAAAGGATAGCTATTATTCATACTCGACAAGAGTCCTGTTTATTCCCGATTAGATAACTCCTCCCCGTACCCCTATTTACTAAGCGAGCCATATTCACTAGTCTATCCGAACCTTTCTACTTATTCAGGAGACCCACGGAGTTCAACTCGGTAAAGAGTATTGTTGTACTAAATATGTTTAAGAGAGTATTACTAGTTTGTAGTTAGATTGCTTAGAATTTAATTTCCGATTTTTTATAAAAGAGACAGATAAGATCCACACGTAACTAGGTACATAGATGTCAAAAAAGGCTCCGACCGATAGAGTGTCTAGTATAACGAGGCCTGAAGAAGCCTCCTACAAACCTCTTACATCTGGTTACAACACAACCTCACCGCCCCACCCCCCCCTGC